GTGAACAGAATCTGCATCCCGACGAGCCCTGAAAGCGTTTGAACTAGAGCGTTCAATTTCAAGTATAACCTTCTGGTCTTTTGAACTCGACTCAAAACTGTACTTCTCCCTTCTGAAATTAATACGTTTGCACCTTGGTATTTGTGAAACATTAAAAGTATGAAGTTCGTGATCACCATAGCTCTCACATGTTGCCAATACATCAAAACGTATTTCGACAGCAAGTAAGACGTTCTCCATGTTCCAAATTTTGTAATGTTCATCATCAGAGCATAAGCGAAGATAAACAATGAGAAACAATTGCAAAAGCAGAACTGGAAAAACGGCCTCTTAATAACACACCGTTCGATATGCAATTTTGAGTTACTCAAACGTTTCTCTATGTAGACAATTTCTTGCAGAAAGTACTCCCACGTTTTTCGTTTTGCGTAGCTCTCTGCGGCTATAAACAATATCGCGAAGCATCCCATAATCTCTTTTATGATGTCCAGGAGTTTAAATACATTATTAATGTATACAGTGTTGTAAAAATTCAAGTTTCTTTCGTAGAGGCTGTATAAGCACAAAGCAACAACACCGAAGAGCTGCAGCCCAATACCTACAGACCAGAGCGTCTCGTATCGGAGCTTGTCGTCAATAAAATCGTAATAGGGTAGTACACCAAAAAAATTCGCGTACTTGATTATGGGCTTTAAAAACCTCACAGTTTTTCGATTATATTTTAGATCCATTGCTCCGCACAATGTTGTCAGTCGCGTAACTTTAAAACCGGACCATTAGTTACATGCCGTAGCCCGCCATTTTGGTTTTTAATAAAAATTAAAACCAAATCGATAATGACTGATATGGAAGCTATTGTAATCATCATTTACACTTGCAACCTCTGAAATTAATAGTTCGCTGTTATTGGATCGTTGTGAATATGAATATATGAAAAAGAAATGCTCTGAAAAGATAGTATAATGAGCTTAGCAAAGCAAAGTAACTTACTAAGATTGAACCATTTAAATGGATCCGTTTGTATATAATCCTGGAGAAATGCGGCAGCTTAATATATATACTATATAATATTTTATGTTGTTTTGAATGTATGTTGTTAGAAATAATTTTAAAAATGGTTTCTAATTATAATTAGTATTCACACGACTAGCAGCCACTGTATAGTCAGCTTGTCTCGAACCCTAAAAGCCACACCTTGCGTTTGGCAAGTTAATGTGTTGTAAAAGGGATTATTAATATTGAGAACCCACGTACCGGGTCATTCCCAGTACAACTTGCTTGTTTTTTATGCCTAACAATGCTTAACGGAAACATCACTCCATCAACTCACATGTCGATTGAAGCGCCACATTCTCGGGGTTAAACTAGCGTTTAACAAGTCTCCTCGATGAGCTGGGTTGCTGTGAAGGGGAGAGACTTATCTACTCTTTTCCTCCCTTGTTGTGGACAATATTCTAACAGTATTATGTAGACAGTTGACAACAGTGTTATTAAAAGCCCAAATCTTGTTCAGACGTTCGGATTAACCCATATAAATTATAATTAATGACTCAGAGTCTAAAAGCCACATATCCATATTTCCAAGTCCATATTAAGTTGATTACTTCAATTATTTCATATACATATTATGTACATGTTACATAGTAATGTAAAAATTATTTATTTTACGATTATTGTTTATTCCAAAATTTTTAAAAAGAACCTAATATTTTAAAATAATTAAATGATATGGATTATTACTAAGTTGTTTAAATATAACTGCACAGGTATAGTCTATACAAACATTTGCATTTCTGTACTTAATTATATAAGAATATAAAATTGTTCTTTATCTCTTCATTAATGTTAAATATATATATATATATATATATATATATATATATATATATATATATATATATATATATATATATATATATATATATATATATATATATATATATATATATATATATATATATATATATATATATATATATATATATATATATATATATATATATATATATATATATATATATATATATATATATATATATATATATATATATATATATATATATAGTTCACGTATTGATTCACGGATGGAAAAATGTGATGACACTATATATATATATATATATATATATATATATATTCTCACGTATTGATTCACGGATGGAAAAATGTGATGACACTATATTCCGGGATATCATCCGTTCGCTCGTTGAACTCCGACTGGAATCCTGCATCCGACTGGAATCCTGCAAATCTTGCATCCGACTGGAATCCTGCAGACGTTTCGCCAAAATCTCACTTGGCATCTTCAATGCTCGCGCTCCGAAAACACTTCGAACACTATATATATATATATATATATATATATATATATATATATATATATATATATATATATATATATATATATATATATATGATCCTGACTAAAGTCGTAGTAGGGTAGTATGCCAAAAATATTCGAGTAGTTAACTATGGGTTTTAAAAACCTTACAGTCTTTCGACTGTATTTTAAATCCATGGCGTTCCTTACACCACAACGTGTCGTGTTGCAGACCGGCCGCTGTTATTTCTGTTTTTATTAGAAATTAAAACCGAATCGATAATGAATAATATGCTAATTACAACTAACTCCCTCAACCTCTTATAATAATCAGGTCTGTATACTTGGATTAGGTCGATTTCAATTTTACGAGGATCAAAAGCTGTCAAGAATCTACAGGACGCTTGCAAAATCATAATAGTGTACGACAAAAATATTCGCGGCATCAATTATAACTATCAAATATTTTACAGTTTCCACGTTTAATCCGTGATACCCCAAAAATTGTAATGCAACTATACTGAAGCTTCAGTTGAGCTCTGAAGAAGTCAACAGGATGATTGACGAAACGCATCTCCGATTGCAAGAAATCAAAGTGTTACTAGGAAGCGTTCGAATGGATGCCATGGGACTTTCTGTCTAACTGACTTGGCCAAGTCCAACATTTTCAGACTGGTTTTTTCTGTTTTCTATTGTAAAATAATTACAATTCCAGTTACTGCTGCCTGTAAATCTGCATGTTTTAGAAACTATTCATTCATTCATCGGAATCAGTTCCCTTGGTAGGGACTGAATGTTTACGAAACTTTTGCTGTTGTTTCTGTTTCCAAAAACAAGTTGCGGCGAACAGCAATAATAATACCCAACCTGTTTAATCTTGTTCTAAACTATGCGGCCAAACTTGCAACCTGTCGTAAATTGTGTTCATATGGCCATGCTTATAACCCGCGAAAGCGGTTTTCTACTCTAGCCCAGATTAAAAACTGGGAAGACAGTGATTTTATAAATTGGCATAAATAATTTAACTGATTTTGAAAACCCAAATATCTAGAAGTTCGCATCAAGCGTTACTCAATTACTAGATAAAATGTTTATGCATTAACCCATTTAACCATTTTTCATTCTCTGAATCGTTTTCTTCCTAGTTTTCTTAGCAATATTCAATTCGTTCCAGTTTGGCATTACTTTTGCACTACTGCTTTCATTCACAATTTTCAGTAGACGTTCATATTAGAATTAATTAATACTAAAATGTTCATTTATTTTATTTTCTTTGATAAAGACTTCAATTTCAAACATGTTTGGACACGCTCAGCAGTTAACAGATTAGAAACTGGATAGATGCGGTTGTTCTAATACTACAATATTTTTGTAATGAAACTATTTTAATTTCAATTAGAATATTGATATTCATTTTTCATCTTTTTAATAAATTTCCGCTATTCTACTACCCAGATAAAGGAAATAGTGAAGTTAAATGTGGCTGTTTAGTTCGAATTTTGAAATTAGTTCTTCCAATATGGCGGTAAGATATATCTCCTAAAGTTTTATAAATACTAGAGATAATGACGAAGTGACAGTACAACAGAATATGCTGCTTTGAATATTGGGTTAAATTTTATCACAATATTCAAATAAAAATATTGTTTTTTTTTTAGTTTCATGTTCCTCATTTTAAGAATCTGGGTTTACATACAAGGAGGTTGAATATTAAATTTAAATAGCATTGCACAGTCTCCGGAGAAGGCCTCGATCGATTTGGAATTTTGCGTTACCGAAATGTTTCTTGATCTAGATTATGTCTTGGGAAAAAATACTCCCACGTTTTTCGTTTCATATAGCTCTCTACTGCCATAAGCCATATCGCGAAGCACCCGATAATTTCGTTCATAGTATACAAGAACTTTTAGGTTAGGTTTTAGTTTCTTCCGTAAAGGCTGTATGTGAACAACACGATAATACCCATCACCCCTGACCACGAACTACGCACCTGAGCGTCTCGTATAGCTAGCGTGAGTAAAATCATAGTACGACAGTACACCAAAGAAATTCAATTCAATTCAATGATGCGTTTCACAGATAGCTGTTGGGCAAGACTACCAGGATCATTCACCAAAGAAATTCAATTCAATTCAATGATGCGTTTCACAAAAAACTGTTGGGCACGACTACCAGGATCATTCGCCCATTGCCGACTTCCGTCGAACTAAAGAAATTACAAAACCTTACAGTTTTTCGATAACATCCATCCATGCAGGTCTACAAAACAATGTCATCGTGGCGAGCAATTAAAAAAAAAAAACGTATGACCTGTTGTTTCAATAAAATTTACAAAACTACAATTGGTATTATAGAATAGAGGCTTTAGGAAAATATACAGGGTACTTGAAAAATATCCCAAACGCAGTACAAAATATGCCCATAAACATAGGGTCGGTTTGTGGGCATATTTGTGTGTTTGTGTGTACATTTTTTAACCTTTAATATCTACTTTGTCTTTTTTTGATCTTTTTAATTTTAGTAGTCACGCTATTATTTAAAGAAGCAAAAGTTCAAGTGAGAATTGCAAACTTTCCCTATGGAGGATGTCGTTTATACCGATAGTCATGTAGTACTTTACGGTCCTTCTTTTTTTAGTTTACTTTTTAAAGTGTTTATAACAATTAAATTCATTTCTTACCAAGCTTGATATGCAGAGCAGGAGGTTCAATAGGATGAGGTCGAAATGAAATTCAATGGACAAGATGTGCGTGACCCTCATCGGCTGAGCTAGTCGCGAGAATACTGACACCAGTTGCATCGACTTCACTATGAATATATACAGTATCTGCTTTCCCAGGAGTCTGTTGAACGTGCGGATCGTGTCGTCCATTTTGAGATAAGTTGCCTTGATTTTAAACATTCTAATCGAGCGTCGTGTGTTCTGCACAATAACTTTGTTGATGCCGCGGTATTTGTGGAGAGCGAGCAATGCAAAATTTGCTATTACAATTGCCCTTAAACTCTCAACATAGTTTAAGAACAATCTGGATATCAGATAAGACGGATTGAAATGATTGTCTCGATATACCCACACCAGTATGGCGTACAGGGAGAACAAAATCCAAAAGACTTGGACGAAGCAAAACTGCACGAAAGGATTTCGTAACACGTTTGTCTCCCTTACATTCCGTCCGCTGTCGCACCATTTGGTACAGCTTTCCAAGTCCGCCAATTGATGAAAAAATTTCTGCCAGAGGTTTCTATTCAAATGAGTTTCCACGATGGTGAAACAAATGGTTAGAGAACCGACGATTTCCGTAGCAAGGTCCAGCAGGACAAGTACGTTGCTGTTGTATATATCATATAAATGCTCCAGCCTTCCATGCAAACTATAAACTGTCACCGCACCATAGCAGACAATCTGAAATGCAAGCCAGAAAAGCCTTTTTTTAGATGTCACAATTCGTTTCCCCACAAAATCGTACTTGGGTACACTGCCAAATATATTTGCGTAAAACAATATGGGCACTAAAAACATTATCGACCTGCGAGTGTATGTTAATTCCATCGTTTCAGTTCTGTTGGCGTTGTAAAAATTCTCTTGTTCCATCAAAAATATTAGATGTATGATGAACCACTTAGGAAATTAAATGAAAACAAGCTAGATAAATAGGCAGCGTATGTCTTTGTGTAATAAATATCGATAACTACAAAATGCTTAAAGCTCAATAAACTGGAAGCCTTTAAAAAGGGTCTGCATGTTATTTTCTAGAAACTTTCTACAAAAAATACGCTAATCTTTTTGGCATATTACAACGACACAGTCAGATACAAAGTACTAATATTCGAATAAGGAAAATCGATCTTCGGCTCTCAAAAAGAGACTCGGGGAAGGCAATCCGGACCTGTATTGTAGCATGTTTAAGGAAGGCGAGGTAAAGGAAAAGGAAGCGTCGACAGGTTCGACAAAGAGGCAAATAGAAAGTAAAAATAAGCAATGCGTTCGGTATTCTGTCCCAGACGCAACGGATTTTTGGTCACAATATACAGAGCAAAGAGTATAAGATAGAGGGGAAGGCTTCCATTAGTGGCAATGTTAAAAAGCGTACACGAGTTTGAGCGCCTCTAGTGATTGTGTCCAGTTATGAAAACGGAAAATGCGCGGGACGCACGGTTCAATTCAATTTAAAGTTTGAAAAGTAAAATGTGAAACAAAAAATTATGTGGAAATAGTTTTGTTTTATTATTAAAATATAAATAAAGTGCTGCTATCCGTTACAAGCTACTGTAGTATTTTCAGTGTGACGCATAACTTTAAACCGCCATGACAATACTTTAGTACTTGCGACACAAATATTATACGGCTTTCGTAACAGTATACACGACCTTCCCTTCTATCTTATACTCTTTGGTAATGATTATGCTGATAATACAAGAACTTTTGAAGCGACGATTCAAATAATATTGAGAAGAGATATGCTCATTTTACAGTCATGTCAATTTCTCAGCCAGTTTGTCATCAAATAAAATGAGTATGCTTGGTCTTACTCAAAATCATATAATATAATTTAGAACATTTTCACAAAGCTCTTGAAGAAAAGAAATAAAAATAAAATTGAAATTACCTCACAATCACAGATTAATTTAACTGGCTTCTCTGAGCCCTGAGCGAATAGATTTACATTCGACTGGTCTTATGGGGGCTATACACATGCAGGCAAGTCCGTACACAAGTGTGTCCAGATAAGTCCGCGAGCAAGTGCGAAACGAATTGCGTCCACACACTATTCAGGTAAACCTCGAGGTTCACCAATTGGTGGGGCCTGCTGCTGTGCGAAAAATAAGTTGGCCTTCGCACTTGCTCCAAAAATCAGACACAATCTGATTCGCTTCCAGCCGCGCTTGGAACTAAACGCGCAGTGAGTTTGACTCATTCACATTCGCACTTACTCGCGTGTCTCGACCTGTACCGGCAAGTCTTAACACTTGCCTGCATGTGTATAGGTCGCTTAAGAGCAATTATGTAGATGCTAGATGTAATTCACGAAAGAGTAAAAAATTTGATCCGACTATTAACGAACGCAGCTTTAATCCTTTCGTGATACCATCAATACCAGCTGACTATGACAGTAAATAGAAACGTGGCCAGAGCCCTTCTCCTTGAAGTACATGTAAAGGTGAAATAGATAACCTTTATGTTCATAATCTGGAACTTTCTTATCGAGGGTCGCTTAATCACGCTGACATAAAGATTCGGGGTTACGCGCATACGAAAAAGATTTACTTTCAGAAAGTTAAATAAATACGGTACCGGCTATGTCAGAACCACAGTCGAAAAAAAGCAAGATGTCTAGCTCCTTGGAACAACTTAAGGCTCTCACCACCGTGGTCGCCGATACCGGCGACTTTGAAGGTTAGTTTAGATTTGAATAAGAAAATATTTATGGAATGCTGGTCATTTTGTGTGCTTAAATTTTTGCAGCCATGAAGGCTTATAAACCAACTGATGCAACAACAAATCCATCGCTTATCTTGCAAGCAGCCGCTTTGCCGCAGTACAAAGCATTGATTGATAAGGCAGTACATCATGCAAATAAAGTAGGCAGCACCCTTGCAGAAAAGACTGAGGCTGCATTAGATATACTCTGTGTTTTATTTGGAGTAGAAATCTTAAAAATAGTCCCTGGTAGGGTTTCTACTGAAGTCGACGCAAGGTGAGAATATTTAACGTAGCTCTTAATTACTGGCTATTAAACTGAGTTTTTTCCAGATTATCCTTTGACAAGGATGCTAGTGTTGCAAAAGCCTTAAAAATCATAGAATTATATGCTGAACATGGAATATCCAAAGACCGTATTTTGATAAAACTGGCGTCAACATGGGAAGGCATACAGGCCGCCAAGTATGGTGATTATTTAAGAGTTTAACAAGTAGGTCTTATAAGTTTACATTTATAGGATATTAGAATCAAAGCATGGTGTTCACTGTAACTTAACCCTTCTTTTTAATTTTGCTCAAGCGGTAGCTTGTGCGGAGGCTGGAGTCACATTGATTTCACCATTTGTTGGGCGTATCCTGGACTGGTATGTGGCAAATACAGAAAAAAAGTCATATTCGGGAGAAGAAGATCCTGGAGTAATATCTGTGCGCAATATTTACAACTATTACAAAAAGTTTGGTTATAAAACTGTAGTCATGGGTGCCTCTTTTAGAAATATTGGTTAGCAAATTAGCCCCACTTTTATAAATTTGCATTGAAATTTTTCATTTTTAGAGGAAGTTAAAGCCTTAGCGGGCTGCGATCTCTTAACCATTAGCCCAAAACTTCTGGGAGAATTGGAGGTCAGTACTGCCCCTGTTGTTAAAAAACTTAGCAAAGAAGCAGCAGCCAAGCTTTCACTCGACAAATTGGAATTGAGTGAGGCTAAATTTCGGTGGCTGTTGAATGAGGATCAAATGGCAACTGAAAAACTGTCAGATGGCATAAGGAAATTTGCTGCCGACGCAATTAAGCTTGAAAATAAAATTAAAGAGCTTCTTAAAAAATAAATAAAGGTTGATTTGATGTTTACATATTTTTTAAACATTTGGTACTTGGATATTTGTACAGGGTAATAAGTAAATTGAGGAAATAAAGAATATTACTTCTATTTGTTGTTTGTGGTTTTCATTAGTAACGGTATTCGCATTATATTACTTTATGTAAAATCACAGTCAGCTTAAAACGTTTTTTTGAATATTTCAAAAAAATGTGGGATAATTTTCTTCTTTCAGTCAATCAATTCGATCTTTTAAATAAAGATTATTCTCTCGATTTCTAATCAACACTAAACTTTGACTCATTTACGAAACCCTAATTTCTACTTCTCCATGGAATAGAGAAAGAAGGGAATCCATACAGTTACAACACTTTTCAATTGTGTCTGATTAAACGGTATTTTGTAAGCGCGCTGGAGTATATTATAAAAATTAAACCAACTACATCAAACTGAAAAAAATATCAAAATAGTTCAATATCTAATACCCACAATCTCTAAAGTCATGCTTATTAAAAGTACTCGATATCTTTTTTTAATTAAGCTTTATTTGGCCACTTTACACTTTACAACCAAGTTATAACTTATAAACAAATTTTTAACGATTACAACACCCAAGGCATCCGGCGCTCTGTCCTGATATCTAAAGTTTTCGAACACAAACCGACAAACTATTTTCTTCTGTGAACGTCACACATTAACCAAATTTAAGTATTCTGTGCATTACACGTTAAAGAACCACATGTGTGGCGCCTGTGAGTCACAACAGCTGTGATATTGACTGTTGATTAGCGGTTTTGTTGCATCAGAAAGTTAAGAAGCAGTGTACGTTGTTTTAAAGTAATTATGTCTGGCGAAAATAAGGAACGTAAGTAGAAAAATTATGTTATTCTCAATTCTTTGATACATGAATTTGTAGCTATCTATACATCCGATAGTTGTGGCAATGATGAAACAGGAATTGGTACCAAGGAAAAACCTTTTAAAACTATCCTTCAGGCGATGCGCAAAGCAGGTTCCGAACCTTTTCCTCCGATTCTGGTTGATGGAAAGGAAGAAGGCGTGACTTTTGAAGAAGCTGCCAAGTCTCAGCTTAAAAAAGTACAAAAGATATGGGTTCGAGAAAATTATAAACTCGCCGAGAAAAAGAAAAAGGAGCAGGAAGATTCAGAAAAAAGGGTGAAAAATTTGGAAGAGGCAAGGAAAATTGTAATAGAAGAAGATAAAACCCTTCCCACAGCCCAACGAATAAAAATTGTGCAAGGTTAATTGAACATATTTTTGTGATGCCATATAAGTATAAATGAAAGTTTCTTCTAAAGTGTTGTAAATGGGATACACTGAAATGGCAGCAAGTTTCCTATTTGGGTTTTAGGGTTAAACTACAGAGATAAAAGAGTGAAAATATATGGGTGGGCTCACAGAATCAGAAGGCAAGGTAAAAACCTTATGTTCATCACCTTAAGGGATGGTACAGGATTCTTGCAAGCAGTGTTGAATGACAAGCTTTGCCTTACACATGATGCTATTGTGTTACAGACTGAATCCTCTATTATACTTTATGGAGTACTTAAAACTGTTCCTGAAGGCAAATCGGTAAACATTTAAACATTTGTGTTGTGGATTTGGTTGTAAATTATAAATCTTACCTCCTCTGACTTTTATTTTAACATTTTAGAAAAAAAAGTTTATTTCAGAAGTTGTAGAGTTTGATATGCAGATATTTATTTTTTAAATTGTAGGTCCTGTATATCATTTTATAAAAAGAAATATCCTTTTACACTTATTTCAAAAATATATAACATCTTAAAGTTATTTTTTACAACGAAGCTAGAATATTTATATAGTAATATATAGCGGTATTAAGTCTACATTTGTATCAAACTTTTTTTTTCAAAAATCAAAAATTTAAAAGTTGAGAAGTTATGACAATTTTTAATTAGAGTTGTTGATGCTTAGAGTATGTGATTATTTTTACTTTGTTCTTAGTTTTTATTTTTTTTTAATTTAGTAATATTTCATTGATAAAATAATGTTTGTTGTTTAAGGCTCCTGGGGGACATGAGTTAATTGTTGACTTTTGGGAATTGATAGGGTTAGCACCACCAGGCGGTGCTGATTCCATTTTGAATGAGCAAGCTTTACCAGACATTCAGGCAGAAAACCGTCATATTATGATTAGAGGAGAGAACACTTCAAAAGTTTTAAGGATGAGATCAGTTCTATTGCAAGCTTTTAGGTTTGACCCATGGTGGTAATTTAGGTTAAACTTTATATTAAAGTGATTTTTCAGAGATCATTACCTAGATAGAGGTTATTGTGAAGTCACTCCTCCCTCTATTGTTCAAACCCAAGTAGAAGGAGGGTCTACATTGTTTAAGCTTGATTATTTTGGGTGAGAAACATAACATAGGTAGAGAATTATGCTGAAATGCATGTATTATAGGGAAGAAGCATATTTGACTCAGAGTTCACAGTTGTATCTTGAAACTTGTTTGCCATCTATGGGTGATGTTTATTGCATTGCCGAGAGTTTCAGAGCTGAACAGAGTCGGACACGCAGGCATTTGGCAGAGTAAATCTGGAAATACTGTTTTTGTGATTTCGGATATGGTATATTTGTTATAGGTATACACATGTTGAAGCTGAATGCCCATTCATAAATTTTAATGATCTGCTCGATCGACTAGAAGATTTGATTTGCGACGTAGTTGATAGAGTGCTTAAGTCGCCCTATCGAGACATTGTTTATGAATTAAATCCCAATTTCCGAGCACCCACGAGACCATTTCTTCGAATGAACTATTCGGACGCCATTGAGTATTTAAAGAAGAACAATATTACCAAGGAAGATGGTACTCTTTATGAATTTGGAGAGGTAAAATTTAAGGTGCGTCATGTATAGAATCTTATCCATATTTTTAGGATATTCCAGAAATGCCAGAGCGCAAGATGACTGATCAAATTAATAAGCCCATCATGCTATGCCGATTCCCAGCTAACATTAAATCATTTTATATGAGCAAGTGTCCAGAAGATCCGAGGTTGACTGAAAGTGTAGATGTCTTACTGCCCAATGTTGGGGAAATTGTTGGGGGTTCAATGAGGATATCCAACTTAGAAGAATTAATGGAAGGGTATAAAAGAGAAGGTATTGATCCCTCGCCCTACTTTTGGTATACAGATCAACGGAAATATGGAACTTGTTCTCACGGAGGTTACGGTTTGGGTTTGGAAAGATTTGCCTGTTGGTTACTCAACAGGTACCACATAAGGGAAGTCTGCCTTTATCCTAGATACTTGCACCATTGTAAACCGTAAACTCCTGCACTTGTAGCAGATTGAATGCATTTATTACAAATTTTCAGTTTAAATTATCAATAAAAAATGCAAATTTTGTTTTGAAGTCTTTCTGTATATAACCCTGAATATAATCTGCCATAACAGATAATTAGTCTGAAATGACAATCTGTTAACAATTGTGTGGAGTATGGAGTATGTTTTGACTAGATCCTCTGGATCTATATTGGAGGCTGTATCTGGTTCTTCTAGGAATTACCGGTCAATTGTGGATGGTGCTTTTTCGCAACTAATTCTATTTTCCTAGTTGCATCTATGACGCAAATGTTCAAATAAATATTTAGTTTAACAACTAAAATATTTTTTTAGATACAAATTTACATTTGATAAATATTTTTCTCTAGAATATTTTGCGATTTTATTTATTAAGAGCCTGTAGTGGTATTATACACTAATGAAGGTACAGAAAGTGTCGCTAAGGCTCCGTTGATGGCCGTTGATGAATGCGCATTCAAAAGCGTTAGTGTATATGCAGAAGAACAAAAAAGGCACTCTCAAATATGTAACGCTCTTCTGCATAGTCGCTAACGTATTTGTATGTACGTTTCTGACGTTTGACAGCGATCGGTCACGTCGCTTAGTTAACAAAGTGGTGCTGTTTTGAAAAATGAACCCAAAAAGTAATGGTCTTAGAAAGACTATAGTATGTAAAACGTTGATAAACTTCACTCAAATCTAAATCAAATTCGTGATTAAAATGGCTCTTATTAAATTTGTTACATAATCTAATTTCAGTAATCATGCATCGATCTAAAATATTTCCAGCGAGGCGAACGTTTTCACATAATAATCATGTATATTAAGTTGAGGAAAATCATCTGGGTCGGCTTGGTTGGTTAAGCAAAATCTCTCAATTTCTGTTAAATCTACATTCGCATTAAAAGAAACAAAGATGTAGTATCAAGTTCTGTTTAGATAAGCTAATTCTGCGTTGCACAGGAAAATTTGTGATTTCACCGCTTCTTAATGATTCAATTTTTACAATAAAATTAGGATAATATACTATGGGGTCAAGAGAAACCAAAATGTTTGAAATATTGACGGTGGGGTTCTCCAAACCATATCCCGTTTTTACGATAGAATCCGGTATTTAACTTTGGTAAATTTTTATGAACCGCAGGTCTACCTCGATTGGGTTTCTCTTTGTAACCCTCAATAAATAGATTCGCAATTCTACAATGACATTCCAGAATTCCAGAACCGTACTTCGTGCATACAAACGCTCAAAGCTGACGGATTTGCGAAGAGTTTCATCGGTGAGTTTCCTATTAGTCCTATTATTAGTCCATGTAGTGAAAACCCCATTCTTTCTTTGAAATCCTACTCTTAAAATACAACAATTCGCGCGGCACAGTTCTTGTTGGCTCACGTCTTAAATACGAGTCTAGCTTGTAGTACACGACGTGAAAGAATGGTCCCTTCCGCTTTACAAAAGCCGGGTCTTAAACTCATTCTGACATCAAAACCATAAAAGCTTGTAGGAACGGTATATGGTTTGGAGAACTCTATAAAGCAGTTAAGTTTGTAAAATAGAGAGTTTGACTCTTCGTCTTTTTCTTTTCTGAAGGAGCTTCCACTTTATTGAATAAGTAACCTTGTTAACTGTATTTGAATTCAAATCGTATATTACGAGTAACAATGACAATATTTCGAAATAATTTCACGTTTTGGTTTTATTTTCCATCGGGACTTTTGAGACCTTTACGTAGGTATGATGACTAATCGGTTAAAGGGAAACAAAACTGCCACATTTTTTTAAATTCCAATTTATTCATAAATAGAAATTATCCTATTAATAAAATCTCATAAAATTTTCAAGTTTCAAATTCAGAAATTCACAATATATTAGTTTAAAGTGTGGTCAAAATTTAAATTGCCTCGCCGGCCAACGTGTGCAATTAATTTTTTGCATGTTTCAAATATTGTGATGCATTTTCAAGAAGTCTTCCGACTTTTGCGGAATATTTTCCGAACCTGCTTTACGATATTATATACAGTTACTTTGGTAAGTAGGGAGGCGATAAAAAAATAAGATAGCTAGACACACTTATTTGGACCCTTAAGTTTTTTAAGCAAGTGAAATGAAAATTAAATGACGTAAGGTATACAGTCGCTGGGTCATTGGACGAGTCATAGTTTGACTTTGGTCTGGTGGGCTAGTTTGGTCTAGTTAATGGCATGTATGATGCAGCTCAATTGGCTCTATAATAATATATATATAGAGGAGTATGTAAGTGTTTAATTGACAAATTTAATAGTTTTGATGCGGAATAAATCGGTGTCAGGAAAATGAAACGTTCTTTAGTGTTATTTATAGGTTCATCAATCCATACATGCAGGTTTCTGTCATTTTCTTGCTGAATGAAATATATCTTATTCGTTTTAGTTAGAGGTGACTACAATAGTTTCTAAGATTATATAATAATTATGTACAGCGCAATAAATATGTTCATCACATAATACAGTATTTAGGATTTTGCTTAAACATAATTATAGGTATAAATTTATTTTTAAAATCACATTTTTTGGTTTAGCGAATGGCTAGCGAAAGAACAGAGGGGGATTATGTTGTGTTCACAAGCAAATAAAAGAAAAAAAACGCTTTTTTGACAAAAGGTACGCAAATTTTGTATTTGCACATATTCTATATATGAAGCTTTTTAGAGTTTACCTTTTACATGTCATCAAACAAGAGATATAAAATATTTTTGACTAACAATTTTCACCGACATTATAATAATATATGGTAATTGCCCCGGCAACGGAAGCAACACATATAAGCCGCGCACGTCATAGCCCTCTAGTTGTTGGCTGGTCTTTCAAGTAGCCTGAAGTCATATAGCTATTAGATAATATGATAAAAATTGATGCGTCTCGGGCGGCTATGGTAATTTCGCATAATAGGGAATAATCTTCAACGGATGCCCCTAAATTTCACACATTGTCCTGCATTTTTAGGCAATTTCCTTTCTAAACAACTCGGTTTTCACTGAGCATTAAACGGGATTTGGTCATATTTTTTTGAAATAATTGCTACCCTAAAAATGAAATATCAGCCCATGCGATTATTGAATGACCCTTTCTAACATTTTTTCAAGCTATAGTTCTTCAAAAGTTTCTGTTTTATCTAGTACCCATATGTCTTAGGTGCATATTTGTGTCGGCAGAAACTTTAGTGTATGTCGTTTTTTAAGACCGATGGTTCAGTCATTATATAAATACCTACTACGTTATAATCGTTAACAAATCGAAATAACTATAATTACATAATGTAGACTACTCTAATATATTCTAATTACATTTCAAATCCTAGTTGCAATGCAATTCGATAATACAAAAAAAATAGATATTTATATATCGAAGTAATTTACCGCAAAAGCAAGAATAAAAACACTTCCAATGTCTGATTAATCCGTGTCTTTATTACCTACCTCTCAAAATGACAGCAGCAACTGGTTGGAAACAATTTTGTATTAATTTTTACCACTAAAAAATGTATACCATGTACCTTTTAAAAAAAAAGTGACCCTGTTAAATCATTTTTTGGGTTCTTTATTAGGTCGTACTGTCATGACAAAAAAGTTCCTGTATGCGTGAAACGTCAACGATCGACTTATTTATTATAACAGAGACGCATTGTATTTTAAAAAAGGCGCAAATTATTTTTTTCAAATTGATAATCAATAATTTTCATAAACTTGCAATGCTATCAAATCTTCATTATATTCTCGATGGTTAAGTCTCTTTCCACACCAGTCATTTGAGTGCCAAATAAAAGTCGTCATTTTTCAACAGCCAGAAAACTCCAACGAATGCGTTGCATCTATAGTGAATCAAGAAGTTGCCTAATTTTGATTAGTTACCACTTCGACATATCCTTGTCGATGTGCAAAGCGTCTATGCGTTAGTCATTTGGGTATTTTTGCGAAAAATGTCCATTCTTTGGCGAGAAATTTTTAGTCGTCTTGCAAAGTTGTTTACATTGTTGGGTGAACTCATCGGGACGTCTTTGCCATTTTTTGATGCATTGCGTTGCTACGGGACTATGGCCATTCAATATTTAAAATTGAAACTAAACAATTACAGATACAGCCTAAGCTACATCACGGAATAACTTTGAATAATAATACATGGATATAACATATAAATTCAGCACTTTTCATTTACATTTTTGTTGTCTTTGTTATTTCGATGGTTTCAATACAAAATAATTGCTAATGTAAAAAGTTTGAATTAAAACTGAACAGTTTTTGCTGCCAGTTTAAGAGAGCTGACAAGTTTTCACAGCGCTCGTTATCCGTTGCACATAACATCGGAAGATTTTATATCGCTTTTACGGAGAAAACAAATAATTTTGTTCCGGAACGGAACTTCCTATATCTACATATCTTACTTTAAATGTGTATGTTCGCATAGAGAAAGGTAATACAATACGGGAAAAAAATACGTATGAGAGTGAACGACTCGGTTGGTTCGTTAGTCACGCAAGTCCGAAATTAACCTAAAAAAAAATAATACGTTCCGTTAAAGCGTCATTGTTTTTAAGTGATTCGAAGATTGTCTTGACACAAAATTGAATAAATTCGATTCACGTACCTGTACAGCGACATATAATCTACGTACAATTCGGTAATGGATGTCCGGCGATAACGTTTTCCAAATCTAATGGGTTCCGGCCACAAAAAAAATTGGTGGGGTCAAGTTTTTTTACAGCGAAACAAGTCTGCGGTAACTATGGTTGACGACTTTTGATCCGAAAGATCAAAGTATTCGGGACGCTTCTTAACGGATTGCGAAAACAGTTCGTTTAGAAACGATACCTATATATGTCAACTAAGTCGAGTTGTATAAACGGGGTTGAAAAAATGTTAGTAGCTGACGCCTTGTTCAAGATTAAAGTTCGCCTCGGTAAGAATTGAACATGAAGGGAGAAAAATAATGATGAAAATATTTTGAGAGTTTGCAAATATTTGAGGCAAACTAACGTAGGAACATTTTTCTATCGAGAATTTAGGGTAAGGAGAGGTAATTATGCTCAGCGGCCGAATGCCGAACTTCTATATAAATATTTTAGCGCCACCAGTAATTTCTTAACACCGATCCCTCACATTTAGATGCTGCTGTTTTAAATATATTGTCACATGACAAATCTCCATTGTGTTCTTACTGTTTGAAGTAATGTAGAGCTATAGTTTATGTATGTGAAAGCAGATGTTCCAGAATTAGCGGAGTCTAAAGTCTAGGAACCGAATGAGGTCACTGTTCTCTGTTCTAATAGATTGGACCCACACAATCTAGTCCAATTCTTCTATAAAGAAATATTAAATATTTTAATTTTTAACTACTGCCTCAAGATGGATTCTAAATGAAAAAGAACGGGTAATTGGTACTGACTATTACCTTCTTTAAAAATTGTAGAAAAAGTTGTCGCCGCAGCGCCACCTACAGTGTAGTAGTAGTAGACATTTTGTTTATTACACTGTCAAAATTTCAGCTTCAGACAAGTCCGCATTTTATCTGATTTTTATTTTTTTATAGTTAAGGCAAAGTCAAATTTCATTAAGATAAAAATCGTGTTTTGTTATTAAATCAAAAATTTAGAAATATTACACATCTTTATATTTTGACAAGAATACATCAGCTTCTTGATATTTTGAAATCATTTGGTCAAGTACTAGTTTGCCTTGACCACGTGCGACGTCGTTTCGTTATCAAATGTGAGAGGTTGTCGTTTGTGCTTCTTCATAACTATTCTTTTTGAAAATGGAACATATTTTGTGTTAAGGTTGCTTACGTTTTAATACAGGGGTGGAGTGAAGTTTATTCACTTAAAGTTCAAAGGTCATCAAGATATACCGCAAATGGCGTATTACCTCCAAAACGTGCGTATTAACTTAATAAGGAACATTAAATAAACTTTAATAAAAAAGTTTTAAGAGCTTAAAAGGAAATAAAAAACTTTTAATGGTGAAATCTCAATAAAAACTCATTCACTTTAAGGGTTTAGAGGTTTAATTAGCATTATTGACCAGTAGACTTAGTTAATGCAAACATTCAAAGTGTATCATCGTATATTTCACAAGAAGAAAGTTTTTGCGATTACAGCGCGATCTACCAAGAACCAAAAATTCAATTTAAATTGGCGAACTTTAAATTTCCGGGGGCATCTCGAAATTTTACCAACCTCGATGTAAGAAAACCGAAAAATTATTCGCACCAACGATCGCCAACTTTTAAGCTTCGCAGACATGGCGGCTTCGAAAAACGTTATTTCGGTTTAAATCTACGATCGTCCTAGACGAAAGTTATTGCCCTGTTTTTTTATTACGAAATTTCGTCGCATAACTAAAAATAACCACACTAAAATTCTACATCGTACGCGCGGAGGAATGTCTTGAGTGATATGTATCATCGTGTTATAATTTTAGGAATTACCCAAAAATCTATGATTGTATCTTATAGAGGAAGAAGGGTATCTAGTGAAAAAATACTTTTGTATAGATTATGATACAAATGTACAGGGCGCGGCCGAAAATCGAGTCGTGAAGTGAAACGTACGTGTCTTTAGTTTCTCTTCGTGACTGAAACATCGACTCGCAGGGTTTACATATGATTTACATGCTTCAGAATAAAGTGCACCTTTAGACGTTTGGTATTTTCGTAATATGTAATATATGAGCATATAGAAATCTTTTGTACAATATATATCTATAGAATTAAAAAAAAAACACTGTCTAATCATATAAAATTTGGCAATTCGATTATGCAGTTATTTGAGGTTAGAGTACGCACTTATTGTTTACCAAGTATTCCGCGATACATTTATATGAGGGGCGGCGCGCAGAGGGATAATATAACTATATCTTTTTTAGGAATTGAAATTTACAGTAACGTTAAAATTTTCTTAATCAGTATTAAATTATTATCACATCGTGTAACGTTATTACTAAGGATTTCCTTAAAACTAGAAAAAATACCTAGAGTATAGTAAGGCATGTTAAAAGAGAGACAAATTATTCTAACGCCTTAGGGGCCATAAGAGATTATTGCTAAATATTAGACGATAGTTCCCAAATCGGCCGAGACCATTTTGAAGTGTTCCTGACCTGGGAAAAAAATATTTGCAAAAAATACAAAAATAAACGCATACAAAATAATCCAAATAGACTAATAGGAACCTTTTGTTATAGAGAATGTACCTTTTTATTAAAAACAATAAATTAATTTGATATGATTTATAAAACTTAACTCCAAAAGTCGATTATTTTAAGTGGTACACCGGGTATATAATTGCCAATCATTGGCTGTTTTGAAAAAATGTACCCAAAAACAGCAGTCGTAGAAAAAGTATAGTATGCAATACGTTTATAAACTTCAGGTTCAGTATTCATTAGAATATTAGAACTTGTGACCATTTTTAGAAGAAAAAATTAATTTAGATGAGAAAATGTTCCAATGGAAAAATAGCTTATGTCCAATTCTCTATAACCAACCCAAAGGCTAAAAGCAAAGTCGAAAATCTTACTTTCCAGGTAAGCGGCGAGATCCTGATCGTCGGCCTGAAGTGCTAACAGTTTTGCGGTATTACCGCGATGATCTTTGATGTCCAGAGAAGCGCCACTGGCCACCAGCATGCAGCAAATGTTGCGCTGCTTATAAGCTGCCGCTTTGTGAAGAGCTGTCTGACCCCTGCGGAACGATGAAAACGTCAGTTACTCGAGGCAAACTATGGCCCGAAGTTTGAGTAAGAGCAACTTTTATAAATACATGCTGCAAATCAGAAGGGCGGCCGCCTCTTTACAATGACGGAACGGTTTATTAGAAAGAAGAAAACCAAAAGTTGCTACATTTCACGAATTTTTGTATAAAACGTTGTGAAACATCGGTGGACAATCCAATCTACGAGAAGACCAATTTTTAAGAGAGGGCGAAAGATTTGAGGTTTCCTTCAGACAATAATGCAATAAATCAGTGAGTTGAGTAACTAGAAGATATCCGCAAAGAGACTAAAAGGTTTCACTCAGACATACGGAAATCGCTCAGATGTAACTGTATTTTCAGAAATATATCTGAAGGGAGGCAAGAGCCCGGAAAAGAATAAACAATGATTACTTCTACTGTCTAATGCAAACTAGACTACAGAAGCACTGATAAATAAAGACGTAGGAGTTGGGAGAATCTGCAAAGACATAAGATCGACATGAAACAAGACGAGAGTTAGCAACGTTTGACTGTAGAGGTGATTTCTAGCTACTAAAGCATCAGAAAATAGGCAAAGAAGGCTACACGATGTCGATGATCACTTACAAATTCACATCTTTTTGATCTATTATAGAAGGCGCGTAATTGATCAAGTAACGGACGAGGTCTTGGTGTCCGAATCGGGCGGCATAGTGCAGCATCGTTTGTCCCGTAGAGTCGTTAGTTTTTAACGAGTACCCACGACAATGGAGATTTCTGACCTAAAGAGATTGCCTTACGTCAACCTCAAATATAATGGTTACCGATGTGCCAAGATTTAGAACTTACCGTCCCAAGGTCTCCAGTCTTTGATGCTTTTAGCAAAGTTTCGTTAGGGCGTTCCTCAGGATTGCTGCAATTATAGTATAATTCAGTACTGGATTTTACAGGTGGAGAACAACGAAAAGCAATTAGGCAAAACCATCATGCACTTTTTAAATATTTTACTATGGATTATGTGGAAAAAAATTGTCACGTAGTATTTTCACCAAATTCTCTTTATAATGAAATTATTAAAAATTGCCAATTTCCTTTAAAAAAATTTGCTGCTTTATGGATAGCACCTTTTGGTCAAATTTTCCATGTACTATCTAATCCAACTAAAAATCCAAATTAAAAAAAATACATGTACAATAATGGTAGGAAGTTTTATTAATTGTTCTTAATCTATGGGTGTAGACAGTATGGAATGTTCCTGTATTTGTCATATATACTAGTTCATTATTAGTACAGTTAATCATATCTATTTAAATTAGGTATCGTACAGTTACTTTCTACCCAAATTCCCTGGCAACCAGCGCTATCCTGGGATTTATGACGGATACAGTAGCCCGCGGTATTTAAAAGCGCCTACATTTCTCTTTCAATCAATGCTAAGTTTGCCAAAATCGGTTTCCTATTTTAGAAAATATACTCTTATAAAGGTTGGTACGCCAGTGATCATCTGACAAAACTTAAGCGGAATTTTTCGAATTTTTGCGGTGAAATGCGGAGCTTAAAAATAATTTCCATATTTTTTTCGTGGTCATTTAAATAATATATAAATAAAATGCAAACTTAATTCAGTATACCAATTTTACATTAAAAAGATATGAATCAAGCATAAATCAAAAAAGAAAAACGATAAAAACAAATAAAAATCTAGGTTGTCACTCTTAAGAGATATTTTTTTAAATGAAATTCAAAAGGGCAATGAGAGACATTCTGTGAATTGCTAATCTGAGGATATTTATTAACTAGTTTAACAGTCATGGACTTCCTAATTTTGAAGCGAGTTCCACGGAAATGAATGTAATTTCTACAAGTTAGGTTTTCTAACAAATATGAAGGGCATTCAGTTTTAAGCAGTTTGTACAGAAAACAATCAAAATGTAATTCTCCTCGACTCGATACATTTAAGCGTTTTAAATCGCGAATTTTATGACTTATGCGATCTCTTCGATTCAGGTTATAAATAAACCGGATACAGGAATGCTGTAATTTTTGTAATATTTATATTTTGTTAAAACATCCAAGCAGGGTCCAAAAGACAGAATCAGAGTAATGTAGATGACTCAAAACCAGTGCTTCGCAGAGATTTTTATTTAATCTCAAGTTTTGAATATCTTTACATTTATAGATGTTGTGGAGAGTAATATAAACCATTTGGAGAATTTTGGAAACCTGTGCACCAAATCTGACTTCATTATCAAAGATGAAATATATCCAATACTTAGGGAGTCCAAAATATATTAATGCAGACTTAGTCGGATTTAATTTTAAGCCATTTGAGTAGTTAAAGACCGATTCCAAATTTACTTAGTCTCCTTGCCGCTTCTACTGCGGGAAAAAGAAATATGTGTGACTATACCTACGACTATCGAATTGAACTCACCAAAGAAACCGGACATATCTGTTGTATAAATAATGAAGAAAAGAGGTCCTAATAATGAGCTTTGAGGGACCCCCCTGTCAACTTCTAGTGCTTTTAATCTAATATTGTTAATCCATGATATCTGTGATCCAGATAATTAAGAATCAATTAAATCGTGTTAAATTTAAACCCGTAGTATTTTAATTTGGTATAGAGCATAGCATGACTGAGGGTATCGAAAGATTTACTAAGATCTAATAAGATCAAAGCAGTAAGTATTTTTTTTTCTAAATCTCTTTTTGGGATCAGTACTTTTCGCTATATTAATTAATTAATACATACATAGAATTACATACATTAAAAAAAATTGTCAATTCGTTTTATGTTTAGATTAGGTCGACACACAAACCAGCACAAAGATTAAAAATTGCAACTTTTAAGGGTGGAAAAGTTAATTTCCACACAAAGTTAGATTACCAGAGATTTAAAAACAACGCCGCGGGACAATTTTTTTCTTTTACAACAAATTTGTAACAAAAAAACGACAACCATTATAAAGCTGCAATTGGTAATGTTATCTTCCTACACGTTAAGTAGTAACAGCAAGTATTAAAGGCACATACCTAAAGGCACGATAAGTTTCCTGATTCAGTGCGAATAACCTTTCGGTAATGCTGGAAAAAAAAAGATATGCGAACAATTGAAACGATAAAGAAATAAATATAGCAAGAAAACACGTTCCGCTGATATTGTAATTATTTAATCTTGAGTTTTCTGAGTTTTTTATTTGACAGACTTTTTTTAGCACATTAGCAAAATCGTTACTTTTTAACGACTTGACAGAGCAGGAAAGTAAGGTTTCACGATTGAATTAAGAAAAATATCCCAAAACTCATGATCAAAGTACTGGAAGTGTCCCAAGTGACTCGCGACTGTGGTTAACGAAACTGGGGTGTCAAAGTATATTATGCAACAAGTGCTGTAAATGGCATTTGACTCACGAGTTTTTTGTTTTAATAAGCGAGCGAGTTAAAAAGTTTACCGAACGTGTTGCATACTATACGTTTTCTAGCACCGTTAGTTTTGGGGTACATTTTCGCAAAACAAAATACGTTCGGTATTTGACACGAGCGGAGCGAGTGTTTAACAAACGAGTGAGTTAAAAAGTTTACCGAACGTGTTACATAATATACTTTTTCTACGACGGTTAGTTTTTGGGTACATTTTCGCAAAACAACACAAATAGATTTACCGACATGACCGTCAGAATTAACAATCGTCAAAATTCAAATCGTGCGGTAATATCTCCGAAAACATCCGATTGCTCCCAAACCCGTACGGTAAAATCCCGGAAATGTCCGAAGTGGCTCGGATTCGTGGGAAACGAAACTGACGTGGTAAAGTGGCGTTTCCCGCACGCTAGATCGGTGTGTGATTTTTATAAAAATACATTGTTACTTAGGTGGCTTTGCTTCTATTCATTATTAATTGTTAAGTCGGTAAGATTAAAAATGCAGAAGAAACTATCGACAAACTTATGCAGTGGAATGAAAACAACAGATTGGTATTAAAAAAAAATCAAGAGAAAGTTTCTTCTGAGATTCAACGATTAGAGTCTTTTGTTGAAAGTGTTTTATTATGGTAAAAAGGCACTTTTTACCGGAAACTCCGAAAAACAATAGAATAGATTTTTTTTCTTTTCAAATCTGTCACTTTTTGGGATAATTCAACACAATATTTTGAAAATCTGTTAGAAAATAAAACGTCAACAATGTCGGTAGAATCGATTTGAATGTGGTATGTCAATGTGTGTTACTCTAAGAAAAGTTTTATATTGACACAAAACATCACATTCATTTATTTTGGAACTAGAGTTTTGTATTTATTTGAATTAAATAAGTGCCATATATATTTACTTAATAACCAATTTATTTTAAGATGAAACTTTCATAGATTGTTTTCAAAATCTTCTCCTTGTATATGTACACGACACTCCCTGGCTCTAGAAATTACATTCGCTGTAATTCTTCCTAACATTTCCATAGTTATACTATCAAATGTAGCCGATATTCCCCGCTGTAGTCCTTGTAGGTCGAACACTGGAGTTACATAACCACGGTCTGTTAGCATATTTTTTAACGGATTTTGAAAATTTTGCAAAAATTACCGGTTTTAAAAAGTTTTTGTTCCCACTAGGGTGCTATTTGAAAAAACTAGGTTATCCTAAAAAATTTATTATTAAATTATTATTTATTATTAAAAAAATAAATTAATAGTTTTTCCCTTGATCAGGTGACCCGTTAAATAGTATATATCATAGTCACACCTAGACACAATTTTTAAGAATGAAATAAAAATTTAAAAAAACAAAAAAAAAGAGAAACACGATATCATCCTACGTAGAATAATTCCCTGAATCCAAAAATGCAAAAAAATATAGGTTGTGCCTTTTAAAATTCGAAAGTTACTCTCGTTTCCGCTCAAACCAGAAGTGCAACCATTGACTATCTATATATTGTCGAAAAATTGGACATTCCGCCTATATTAACCCTTCCAAATTTCAAATCGCTATCACAAGCCGTTTAAAAGTTAGTGTTCCCACTTTCTTGTATCACCCGGTATATGATGCAAAAAGAATTGACCCTTGTATTAATTAAAATATGAAGCGTAAGCGAATTTTGAAGATATTGAATGAAAAAGAATTTATTATATATTATTTTTAAACGTATCGTAACCAAAGTGCCATTACGTACTTGGTAAAACAGTCGAAATTAAATAAAAATATTGTACAGGCCCCGAGGAATATGTTCTTTTCGTTTAAAAGCAACTTTTCTTGTACCCTGCGGACTTTTTTGTTATGAAAATGTATCAAACGCGCGCCTCGTGTGTTCACGGAACCGATCTTCGTTAATATTCCCTACGAGATTAATTTTCTCCTCTTTTAAAAAATTAATGGAGGACGGGAGGCCGGAGCGGTGCCGCCGGCGCTATTAGGATCCCCTTATTAATATTAAGTTTGCCGCAATGGCGTGACGGAAGCTTGCCGCTTTTTTTTCCAACGGGCGAGCTTTTGGATTCCGAATTTTTCCATTTATTATGCCAAGTCAGAGTTTTTGGAGGGAACAATACTTTAAGCTTACGCGTGGCGTAACCACTTACTCCAAAGAGACCAGTTTGTTTTAAATACATGTTTTATACCCCGGAATAAGGCAACTTCTATCAAAATACTTTTCTTTCTTCTTTTGTACTCCTTAGTCTAAAATTCCCAATTAGTTTCTTTGGTTTATTTATTTAACCATGTAATACAAGATTATGTATATGTAGCATGTCAGATTGTACAAATAAATATATACACAAAAACACAAAAATATAGCATATAGAAACTAAAAGACAAATGGCGCCAATTAGAATTTATAATTAAAATATTCACCATTGCAATTAATTGAAATTAATTAAATTGCCCTCTGAAAAGCTTTTTAACCCAAAGCTTGTATATTTGTTGGGATAGCATCGTAAAATCCTACATTTAAAGAGTTTTTTTGTTTTATTTAAACGAAAACGAGGTACTCGCAGAAGATCAGAATTTCTTGCAGAAAAGTTATGAAGGTCTCAGTGTAAATTATAGTTTTTCTACTGCCGTCTGTAAAATACCTAATTAGCCACCGATCTAGCGTGCGGCAAGCGTCACTTTACCACGTCGATTTCGTTTTGTCTTATTTCTATGGATTTTATTAAGGCTACAATATATAAAGATTGAAGGTACTGGCATCGTTCGAAGGCTAGAAAAATAAGGTCGACATGATTCTCGGTAATTAATATTTAATAGAATTTTAAATGCCTTTTTTTGGAGTCTTCAAACGTCACTTTACCACGTCAGGTTGGTTTCCCACGAGCCACTTCGGACATTTCCGGGATTTTACCGCACGGATTTGGGAGCAGTCGAATGTTTTCGGAGAAATTTCCCATGCTTTGAATTTTGACGTTCGTCAATACTGACAGTCTTGTCAGTGAATGTATTCGTGTTGTTTTGCGAAAATGAGGCCAAAAACTAACGGTCGTAGAAAAAGTATAGTATGCAACACGTTCGGTAAAGTTTTTAACTCACTCGTTTATTAAACACTCGCTCCGCTTGTGTCAGATAAACTCGTGAGTCAAATGCCGTTTACCGCACTTGTTGCATACAATTAGAATGGAACAATGAAAAATGGACGTTTCATTTTGATATTTTTGGTATTTTGACATTTTTCAGTTCTGATGGTCGAGTCACACGTCACTCAAGAAAACTATACTATTTTCTGTCTGTTGGTGGCAAATTGAATCATAACAATCATAAAGAATAATTCAATTAGACAATTCAAAATCAAGTGATAAAAGTTTTTTGTTTCCTTCGTTTAAATTTCTTAACGCGCTTCGGTAGGATACTATAGGCCAACTTATTTACATTAATAAATTTCTTCACCTCAATCAAATCGTTTTGCTTAGTTTGCTTTTCAACTTGACTATAATTTGTCAACTATATCCGCTTGGAAAATTATATTACTATTAGAATTTTTTTTCCGCTCCCTAATTTAACATAACATATTTGTGAATAATTTTCTCATATAGCACTGCCGGGTTTCTTTGTAACTTTTTAACTATTTGGAGAAATACCACAAAAGATTCTTTCGGATAAACAAATGTACTGGATTTAACCATTTTGGCAGGTGTTCCAACAGTTTGGTCAATGAACATTTATTAACGGAAGATAAAACAGAAAAAAAAACCTTTAAAGTAAAATGTATTTGGTCACTTGGTATGTAAACACATATTTTTCAGCGTAACAAAAGACAACCAAATTTGAGAGTTATGTAGTTGATAAAGCGCAAGACCCGCAAGATCCGACTATACCCTGGTGGCGAATTGGCCTTTGCATTACGTCAAAAATAAGCCCGAAGGCAACAGTAATAAAGCTCAATTTCTAGAAATAAACGGACTGACTGTACCTTCTGATTTTAACCCCAGCCAAGTCGGCGTTCTGGTCCCCGTTGCGGTTCTCGACGGGGATGGTCTCCTCGGCAGTCGGGTAATCCTCCGGTGACTGGAGCACTTTTGGGGACATGGGCGGGTGATCGCTCGGGGAGTCCAAACTCCCCTCGTCGCTACAATAAGGACGGGGTGATTTGTTTACGCATTGCAGCTGCCGCCTTTTCTTTGAAATTCGAGTTTCAAGGAATTGGGGCTCGTTATTTGTAAAAACCATGGCGGATGCGGCGAATATACGATTCCACGTCTCGGATACCTCGATTTAAGAAAGGTTAAGAGGAAAGTCGAGTAAAGAATCGACGAACTCGAAATGTTTGCGGTAATGCAGCCACTGGTGTGTCGGTCTTGTGTTGCATATTGTTTTGTGTTATAAAAAAATAATAACTCATTTATTATGTAAATAAGATAAGTGAATATGAATATACGAATAAAGTATTTCGAGGTGTTAATGAAAATTGTTAATTTGATAGTGTCATTTGTATGTTGTGCGGTATTATTTAGAAATAAAAAATAAACCAGTATTTTGGGATTTTTGTTGTCACAAAAATTTATAAAGTTTGTTGTTGTTTGTTTTTTCATTTTACATTTACCACAACTAATATATTTTTTGAAAATCTTAGAAAAGTCTCATTGCTTCATCAGTGAAGTCGTTAGAGAGCGTTTTTTGATATAAAAATGCGAAATTCTCTGAAAAATTAAATCAAATAATAAGACCTCTTTTTCACAAAAATATTGTGAAATGATACCTTCATCCGTTAGATGAAAACCGTATCTCGATATCTTATTCGTAACCTAAAATGTTGGATAAAGTACATTTAGTTCTCCTTAAATTTTAACAAGGCGCTATTTCATGGGAATTTATTGTTATTTATTTGCCTTTGTTCAAGATTTAATGATAAAATCTCGTAATATTATATTTTTCAAACCAAGTGTTCTAGGTTAAAAAAAATCCAGAAGCATAATAACCAATATGGAAGAGCAAGAGCAGGTAGAATATGAAGTAGGTAACAATGAAAATATTCATAGGTTGGTAAAAAATTGCTAAACAAGAATCACCATATAAAAACTTAAACTCCATATGTTATGGTACATTTACTAGCTGGACTTCTGAGAAAAATCATTTTAAAAATTGAAGACCGCGATAGTTGGCGACCATCTTGGAAATCTAAACATATTTCTCACGATCTTCTTCTTCGCAATAAAATGTTTTCCCGCAACTCTCGATGACCATTCGTTTTTGACACTTTGCTTCCTTATTGGGCTATATACAACAAAACGGAAAGTTTTTGTGTTTGATTTTTTGCACACGAAATAAATGAAAACTGTGGAAGCAATCTTATTACGGTTAAAAAATGAATTGAATAGTGAATGAAAATAGTGCGACATTAATAATTTGTTTCATATAATAATTACCATTTTACACTGCATATTGTTATATTTTTTAAGGCCACGGAATAATTTTGTTATCTCTACTTAAAATTGGTAATTTTTGAGATAATACATTTTTTTGACAATTATGCCGGCCTCTGCTTCTACACGAAGCTAAAAATCCTTTTGTTTTTTCACAGATGCGGTATGTTGTAAAAATATCTTTCTGATAATAAGTAAATTTATATTTTTGAATAAAAAAACGCAATTTTTTAGGGGAACATTTGCTTTAAATAGTTTAGTAATTTCTTGATAAAAATAGTTAAATTAAACGTGTTACATTTCACTACACTGACTAATCATTTTTAAAGAAACAAATCTCGTTAGTCTGGAATAGATTACAGGTACTGAACGTTATTGTCAAATCTCTTTTTAATCTGTTTTCGTTGAGTTAATTAAATTTTTTGCATTAAAAAAAAGGTTTCGGTTACTAATGAATTGAATGAATGAATGAATTATGCGGATGCGACGAAAATGGTACCGTCTTAAGCAAGAAACTTTATCAGGAGCAGGCGTAGCGGAGAAATACCCAAACAGTTACTCCAGAACTGTGAGAACCTGTTACCTTTCAAAAATGAAAATAAACAACAAAATAAGGGCAAAAACCCCATTCATTTATGCGAAATTCATACTTGCTGCGAATAGACAAAATATTTATTCCAGCAACGATACAAAAAAATATCCAAAACTTACCTGATGCGCATTTCCGGTATGACGTAAGGTGCCTGCTGCCCGGAACTTGGGGAAGGCACCGCCGTTTCGTCTTCCGGAGTTTGAGGAACGCTTCCTACTCCACATTCCAGAATGTAAAGATGTTCACAGGCGATGTCCGTGATGTAGTGCAGATTCTCTTGGGCCCTATCCACGCGAAAGAACCTCTCGGCGGTACAGGCTACGAAAAACTCGACGGTAATTAAAAATTCCGATAGTAATTGTTTCGGAAAGTGAAAAGACCATTGCCGAATTATTAAAAAGCGCCGAGTAAAATGAGGATTGAGAGTTCACGGGGTTTACGGGATCTCAAAGGCAGTCTTCAGGTTCAGGTTTTTCTTTAAAAGTAATTAAAAGGGATAGGGGATTGCTAGGCAATACGATAAACCCCCGTCGCAGCTTATATCAGATCCTGGCCCGATGCGTAAACATTCAAGAAATTTTGGGATGATAAGCTTTTGAATTAAAAGCCTAAACGAAAAGACCGCTTAATGCACAATTATTGTGCCAAACTGATAAGTGACAACAAAAAAAGCAAATTTACCGTTTGGCCACCATGGAAAAGAAAAACAACAATAGGTCGTTGTGAAATTAAATTATCCATCAGACCGAATAATAATATATCGGGTTATAATATGAGAAAATGAAGTTTTGCAGTTTTGAAAATGATGTAATTGGTTAGTAGCTTATTTTAAAAATAATGTGTAAGGAATTTATACTTATAACATCATTGTAATGATTTTCTTTGACTCTGGCACATTGTTACACCAACTTTTGTACACTTTTTAGATAAAGTAAACCCTTATCAATATATTATATACGCCACCCTGTATGCCTCATCCGTTAACACGTTGGGGTGGAATCGATGCAATACATCAATATAATGATTTTTAAAAATTAATCTTACATGGCTTCAAGCATAAAATATGGTAGCAAATTATGATTTTTTTATGAACGTCCTGTGTTTTCCGTAATTTCCAAACATTTTGGATAAAAATGTTATTTAAAATTTACACCTTATATATAATAAAAATATGTAATAAAACAATCTTACTGTTTTTCAGTCGTTTCAGGTGTTACGAAATGACAAATATGATGCTATAATTCTGAATAGTTTACACGTGACAACAAAATTTGTTACGTTTTTTCTTTTCAAAAATCATAAGGAAAACATTTTGGAAATTAATTTGATTAAATCAAATATGTTAAAATACACAACTCATTTAAAATTTTTGAAAGCTATACCGATTACGATCAAACCGAAGCTAACTGAACTCCACTAAAGCAAAATTGATACTCACAATCCACAAAACACCATTCTGGAAGTATGTTGTACTCTTGGTTGTCTTGAATCAATCGATTGATTATCGCCCTGACTTGTTCCAAGTCGGCGATGGGGTTTACCTCTATAGTACCGATTGCTATAGCTGAAACATGACAATTTTCGACCACATGTCGGCAGGTAGAGAAACAATCGATGAAGTTAAAACTGAATAATATATTTTACACTGCCAAGTGGTTTATTTCACAAAGTAAATTTAAAGCACATTTCATGCATGTGTATTTGTTTCGAATTTACTTGGAAGATTTTCATGACTTTCTAGTGAACGTGGCGTAAATATTAAGTGAAACCGATGAACGTTTCGATATATGTCGTACGGCACCTACAAGATTCGAAATTAAACTTTCAGAATTGAAAATGCTATAATTGAAAATTAATATTGCGTAAAGTTCAGAGGGATGTTTAATTTCCTGGTAAAAATTGAATAGGTACGCGAGTCGAAACCTAAGAAGGGAGATTATGTACGAAAGGAAACGTTCTAGGAAAATTGATTGCAGTGCCACATTTTAATTCAATTAAGCTGATTACGTTTTCTTGTTTGCTCGGGGACGCTTCGCAACTGAAAAATGATCAATTGATGTAGATTGTAGGTACATTTATCATATCCAGCTTTTCGATTTCTAACTAACCAACTATCTATCTTGTTTATTTTTATAATGCAACCCGAGATTTTTACTCGGTTTCTTTAGTTTTATAATGTTTTTTAACATTTAGCCAATGAGTGAGCCAATTTACTATAATAACTAAGACTGTACGGGATAAATTAAAAATGGACGTCTCAAAAATAGTCCAGTCACATTTTATGGCATTTATCTTTTGATGTAATAGGGTTTCAATTCTGTTGAAACATAATATATCCGAAGTGAAGTGGAGAAACTTTTGAGGTACGATCTATATAGAGTGTGACAAATTAAATGTACAAAAATATGGGAATTTTACCACGATATTGTAAAAAGTTCAATAAAATCCTATGGGAGAGATTATTTGGAATTACAAGTTATGCCAAAATAGCATGGCCTCCTTAAGCAATTTTGTATTTTTCATTTTTAACTTGAGTAATTTGTATTTTATAAATTTTAAGCACAGCATTAAGATTTTGTAGAAAACGTAAAACATCGGTAATAATAATAAGCATACCTATTAAAAAACTATAATATATTGCATACTAAAGTGGCCACACTGTATATTTATAGAAAACAAAAAATTCTATCGTACCCTAGATTAAATCTCTAGTGTAACAAATATATGGCGCGAACAATTAAAGAGATAGACAAAAAATGATACACTGTTGCCGTATTTGAAATCTCGGAGTAACTTTGTAGCATAGGGTGCGATGAAATTTTTTATTTTATCTGTAAATAGGATTTTTTCAAAAAAGTTTTGCAATTTTAAAATGTAAGTTTTAATTTTTTACATCCACTCCCAAAGTCTTTTAACCCTTTTATTACGTTTGTTATAAGCGTTACGAAAATATATTATGCAGAAGAGCTATTTCAGATACAAAGCATATATACTTAATTGTATTTATTTTTTATAGAAAAAAAAAGAGAGAGCAAAAATTTTAATAAAAATTACGAAAGTTTGGCTATTAGCTACTCATAAAAAATAAAATGAGATATATACTTTGAATTTCAAATATATATCTTTATATTTAAAATTTTTATTATTTTATTTTATATTCAAACGATTATTATATATTTTTGAAAAGCTCATAACCAGCCTAATTAAACTAAAAGACAAACATTTTGGTTTCATTATAAAAAAAACAAGTTTAGTTTACATATCAAAATTTTCAGAAGAAAACTGACTACGCCATTGGATCCTACGTAAAAAACCCTATCTACAGCAGTTTTCACCTTTTCGATAAGTTAACGCATAACCGAGCTATAAAGGGCGTTTAAAAATGAAAAATTCATTACCCTGTATCTAAAAATCCAGCATAACTTTCATTTGATGAAAAAGTAGCCTTGAGTCCCGAAAGTCGGAACACACCATCTTTATTAATAAGGAAGATACGCAGTAAAACCATGAAAATTAGGACATACTCTACATTTGATACATTAGTTATTATATTATTCTCGATATTACCCCTTTTTATAATATTCAACTTAAATAAGCTGATTCAGAAGTGTGAGCCACCGGGTATAGCAAACGGTGTAAGTGCGAAAAAAAAAATAACTTACCTGCTTGGGTCAAAAGATCTTTATCGTAGTGATGCTGCTCATAGTCTGACATGTTGATTTTGTTGACAGTGATTTTGAGGTTATCTAGGGCTGCCTGGGGCGGTATGAATTTGCCGAATTTCCGTTTGGCCAGCATGTTGGCCTTGTTGAGGTGCGTAAGGGTGATGATCGAGGGCTTGAGCTTACACGCTTCACCATCGACTTGCATAGGTATCGTCTTGGTGGTGATAATTTTGGCAGACCGGCACTGGGTAATGCAAGTGCCATGGCCGCCAGCTTGGAGCAACGGCTGAAATTCGAGAGGGACGACGAATATTCTGTATTCTGAATAATTTGGCACTGGTCGGTTTTATATTTATATTTTAAGTAATATTATTTTTAGTTTTAACTGTAATATATTGAGTTTTTGTAGGCGTGGGTCATACGTATTTTGATCCCCAAAATGAACTTTACTTTCGGGTTACTGAACACGGGCACGCGTCGCGGCAGTTGCCGGAACATTCGAGAACGCCATTAATCACCTCTCGCTTTCTCATTGTTATTTTGCCACTTATATCATTAATAAATGTCAACGGAGACAAAGTACGCGTTAACGCCAAAACCGAATATGATAATAGAGGAAATTAAAATGCAATTAGCTAATTTAAGTGCCACGCGATTTTTCTATTTTTGGTTTAGGGATTTTGGCATATTAACAGGAAACAACTTTATGTTCGGCGGGTAATTTTTAATCATTTTGACTGAAAATGGGAGGGACTCTATACAGTGACTCACAGCTTAAATGACGCAGTCGCTTAACAAAAACTAACTTATCCTGAATGTCCCTTTATTTACTTGGAAAGAAAAACAGCTTATTGCAATTAAGTTAGTAAAGAGGCTTCTAAAAAAGTGTGAATTACTTTCTGTCTTAAATATGCCTTACTTAATTAACAATAAAGAATTAATTAAATCATAGACAATGCTAACGTCACAACTTAAACGATGCAATAGTATATTATACAAGTGCGGTAAACGGCATTCGACTCACGAGTTTATTTGACACGAGCGGAGCGCAGCGGAGCGATTGTTTAATAAGCGCGTGACTTAAAAAGTTTACCAAACGTGTTGCATACTATACTATTTCTACGACTGTTACTTTTTGGGTATATTTTCGCAAAACAACACGAATACATTCATTGACATGACCGTCAGAATTGACGAACGTTAAAATTCAAAGCCTGGGAAATATCTCCGAAAACATCCGATTGCTCCTAAACCCGTGCGGTAAAATCCCGGAAATGTCTGAAGTGGTAAAGTGACGCTTCCCGCACGCTAGATCGGTGTGTAATTAGGTATTTTACAGACGGGAGTAGCAAAAAATAACAACCGGGGTCAAAACTTATCAGTTTGAAATTTACTTACTAACTCAATTTCAATGGGTTGTTTTTTGCTAAATAAATAAAGACATTCAGACCAGTTAGTTTTTGTTATAGCGACTGCATTATTTAAGCTGTGGGTCACTGTAGTTATACATGATGTCTCAAAAATTAGACGTTATTTTAACCACTTATTCATCGCTCTAAAATGAAAATAAAGGCACTTATAAATTACCGTCCACAACTTTTTTTTAGGATTTTCAGAAATGAAACCCTGATTACAGTTTTTTTTTGCAAATCTAGAAACGAATGAAGATGTTTAGACTTAAAATTAAATATATTTACTAAATATCTTATATACTTTAATGAATTTAACGTTAGATTGCCGTCATTGGTGGGTAAACAGGGATGAACCTTAGAAAGAAATATTATTTATTATAGGTAGTTTAATAGTAACTTTGACTAGAAAATTTGATAATTTGTCGTTTCCTACATGATAAAAATGCATTTCAAAATTGTATTGCAGTGATTTTTTTATTTGAATGCGCAAATTTATTTGCACCTCAATTAGATGTGGGTCAAAATCACGCTAAATGGATGACAAAAATTGTAAACATTAATGTCTGCCTTGTTTCGGATGATCAGAAAAAGTAGCTTTATCAGACCAAAGTACTATACAGATCCCTAACTTACTCACAAGCTGATATGTTGTAAGGCCGAGAACTTCGATGAGGCCGTCTTCAGTGCTAGGTTCCGATGCTCCCATGGATCTGTTCCAAGGTCGCGTGCCGCCACCGTAGCTGCGAAAAAACAATTTAAACGCTCCCACGACAAATAAGACCATAATAAAAGTCCAACCTTGGAATGTTGAGGAAAACGATCGCGTGCACTCTGAGCTCTCTCAACTTGGGAGTGATATCTTGGCCATCGCACTCGAGTGCCACCAGATCCGCAAGGCCCTTCCACTTACGTTTTACCAAATCCTTGCCACCCATCTGTCCGTAAAACATTTTGTTCCTCAATCTCGAATTGAATTTCTCCGGATGAGCCTCTGCAAAAGACGAGCGGTGAAATATGAGTTCCACTATGCCGTATGCTTTTAGACTTACCGCGTGCCTCGTGGAACTCTAGCGCGATGTGGGCATCTACACCCAGCGAGTAATAATTGTTGACTACGTTTAAGGGTAGGTTTTCTTTACCCTCCTCCGTACTGTCGGCGTTGGTGTTTTTTTCGACTTCCAAGGACCATCTGTCTAAGAGCACGGTATCGCTATTGCTGATGTTGGATAATATCTTCGATACTGGTTCATCAGTATAACCCTGCAATTCATCAATTTCATCCATATTTGGAAAGTTTTTTGCTTTTCAGCAGTGTTCAGTAGCGTACCCTTAAACCTTTCAGTCTTTAAAACCGGCTTAAGGCCAAGACTATAAGAAGCTACCAAGAGGTTCGTATTTTACCACCCTAACATGGTGGCCAAATATACAATTTTTGAATTAAATAAAATTCAAGGAAAAAGTAACGTTCTCCTTAATACACACTTGTAGGAGGTGTTTTTCTAAATACAAGTACAGTTTCATAAAAAAAAATCTATTATATAAACCAGAAATCTGAAGACTATAGTACACAGATCAAGAAAAAAAATGCATTTGCCATTAAACGTCACACCTAATGCATTTCGGAGATAGAACACAATAAAAATATGCAAGGAAAAAGTTATGAAATTAAAAAATTATTAAATAATAAAAAAATAAGTATAAAATATATAAGTAGCATAGAATGTCCTTTTAAGGGATAAACAGAGCTACTTGAAAACTCCGATGGTGACAAGGTTCAAATACAGGAATTTAAAAACCTAAAGAACATATCTCTCACACGTCATACTGAACTTGATGGGGGAGAAATGTGCTATAATATGACATTGTGCACAAAGGTCTAAAACTTAAAACTCCCAGTAAGATCGGCCGAAAAGCTTTGAGCATCTGCTGTTGCTGTAAAATTTTGACTTGGTGTAGACACTTGCACTGAGAATAATGGCCAAGCAGTTTTTTTAACTTAACCTGAAGTTTTTCAATCAATCAAATCAAAATTAATATTTTTGCTTAGTTTAGAAGGATGCTTTGGAATTGTCGCGGCTTCAGTTTCCTTGATAGTTTATTAATAGCCATTAATATGATATAATGTATTTTAATTTATTATTTCATTATATTATTTATTTAGGACAGTATTCACAATACTTGGACACTTGGAAAAATTTAAATTGGTCAATTTAATATATTTACATAGCTTTGCGACAATTTCCTTCATTATAAATACTGCAATGGGATAAAGTGGATGTAATGGATCTCAATGTTCTCAGATTGCTTTTAGTTCTTTGCTGCTCTTTAATCTTGCGACGCCACGTTGTCTTCTTCATGTTAATTATGATATGTTCTGTAACAAATATCTCTTGTTCTTAACTTTTAAGTTTAGGGTTTTGTTTATTAAATATTGATGATTTTGTATAATTTCAGCCAATAGCAGAAGCATGAAGTAGCGTTTATGATATTATCTCAGGTTAGCAAGATTATTAGTTATTATCTTCTTCTTTAATTTCTTGTGTAGAGAAATATTAATAAAAACATTATTAAATTTGCTAGCTTGCATCTAATAATTTTTACATAATTTATCATGTTATTTGAGCATTTTTTGGTCTGCTCAATGCTTAATTATTTAAATTCCTGTAACATAAACGTAACATAAATGTACAACCATAAGCAATGCATCTTAACACCAGCATAAAAATATTAGTAGGTTTTCAACGTTCATGAAATTGGCGTAGTAAAAAAGACTCAAAATATATCACAACCACTTAGTTCAAAGAAGGATATCCCACTAAAATGATTTCCCAAATGATTAACCCTCAAAACCCCAAATGGGAGAAAAAATTAAGAGATCAATATAAACAATTCCTTGTCCAAGTTGATGCTGCTGATATGACAAAGAAAACAATCTCGATTACTTACACGCCTCACAAAATCTATATTGGCCAAAACCAAAAGATAGACTTCATTGATTATACCTAACAAAACTGTCAATATTAGGTGAAAATTCCAGAAAAAAATATTGTTATGCGAAAAACAATTGTCGAAAAGTTCACCAATAATTTAAGACCTTCCTGTAAGCTTTAATAATTAAAAAAAATGTGTTGGGATTGAAATACCCAAATGGCATAATCCTATCACGCGTAACCGACCAGGGTAGGATAAATTCTGATATGGTTCGCTTACAAATTGACGTATTAAGCGCAAAACGCGATGACCGATTGTGTTTCGAATATTTAATTAGCGAAAATGCGACGTTTCCTGCTCAATAAATTCTCGTTTAGGCGGATTTTTTAATGATTACGACGTGAATTGTTCCGTCGCTCAAACGTAATGAAATTTCGTATTCCGAACGGGAGGGGTTCGTTGTTCAGTTTTTGCTAATTAACATGGTAATGGAAGCTTTGCTTTGAAATATACCGCCAATTAATGTAATAAACCTCCGTCGGTTTTGTTTTTTTTTTCAATAAGTCCGGTTTCAAGTTAACCCTCTACTTTTAATTACACAGTCTTGAACTGTCCCGTTTCTAATGCCTCCAAGAGGAGCGAAAATTTACCAAAATTATAATCATTCTTATCAAACATGTTTGCTATAGAGCAAAGGAAAACATGAGCACATAAAACCTAGCCTTGGACTAAAGGGTTTGTTACCAATATAATTTAAATTTGATTGATTTGTTTTTGCACTAGACTTTACAGTTAAGATTTCTGTTTTGGTTAGGGTTTTTGTTAAAATATTGATTCAAATAGTAAAATAAAAAAAAATCTGTTATTCTTTCATTCGCTACCTGAAACAATTTTACAGCATAAAGACTAATTGTATCCTTAATTGCAGACTAAATGGAGGTATTATACCATTTTAACTATGCATTGGCTTTCTCAAAGATCATTTTGAAAATCTGCAGATAAAATTACTGTAAATTGTAATTTTCCTGATTTCAGTTTTTTTGAAAACATCAGGAATATGTTTATATGGATGGAACCTTTGAAACACTCTTAAGTGATCGCACCCTAAACCATAATATTTTTCACAATAGTATTAATGAAGTATTCTCGGATAACAACAAAGCAGTTGATTCAGCATATTTTTGGCTTACTGTTTGTCTTCTGCAGAAGTTGGGTATCCAAAAAGATGCCGAACTGAAAAGTTCTTTAACGTCAGGAAAACACATTATGCGAACAAAAACTAAGATTTCAATTTATCCATTAGTAAATGGATGCACAACGTACGCTACTAGTTATATAGCAATTCGGAGGTGTTTTGATACATGAAAAGGACCTTTTATTAAACTTTTATTTAGCGTGCAATTAGTACGTGTGTACAACAAAATAAAAGTAACTTCGTGATACTCTCTTTTAAGGTTTAAATTATATACTTGAGTTTTCAAGAACACAGCTTGCAAGAATACAATATATAACGGTTAATACGGTGTGTCCCATATGACAAATATCAGTCGTTAAGCAGATACAGAGTTTTGAAAGTAAACTTAATTTTAGAAAGATTCTAATAATTTTAAACCGCGTAATGGATATAAAAATCATTCATAAAAGAGATGATTAACAAAAACAATTATTTACTAGACTTAAGATTTCCCAGTACGAAATCAAAACAATTTCAGCTTATACCAAGTAATGATTCGTCATCTTCAAAACCGCTTATACACTAATTTCAAAACTGATATCCTTCTCAGTTTTAAAATTATTGTAATTTTTATTTTCAACCACCTGCATCTTTTTAACGACATTAACATTTGACACAGAATTCATTGAACAGATCTTGTTATTTTGATTTATAGTATCGCCTGTATCTCTAGGATGGATAAGTTAGGGATCATCATATAAATATGTAATAATATTTTTCGAGAAAGAAAGAACTGATTCATTGAAATCTGCCTTATGAAATTGGACTTAACCATGCAGTCGAGGCTCGTTTATTAGTTTATCGAATTTGATTTAAATTATTTAATATTACATAAAAATATTCAAAAAATAAATGTATAATAAATGACGACTATTTATTGAAAATATCTAAAGCAGTGAGACTTTGGTTAAAAAAATGATCCCAGCTGCATCGTCCAATGAAAACTATCTAGCAGTGTACCAAACACACAAGATAATTGTTGAAATTACATGAAATTCATATTAAAGTCTCCATTTGTATCACAATTCCCACCACAAATTACGAGAGAATTTAAATTAGAGGAAGAGCAAGTAATTTTTACTTACTTAATAATTTGATAGATATTATTTTAGCTGGAAATAGCCAAAAACTACAACGGTCATCTGGTAATGACTGGCAATGAAAAATATTTTTCAAACACACTCTTTAACTTACCCCACCCCATCCTAAAGCTCTGGCCAAATCGTTGCCAGTGCCAAGTGGTAAAACCCCAACGGCGGGTGCTGGGTTCATTCCAATTTGGTCAATGACGCTCAATACCCATCCGACGGTACCATCGCCGCCGCAGGCCAACACTCGTAGATTAGGCACTTTCTTGAACAACTCTAGGCCCATTTTAGGCCCACCCTGAGTTAGGTCGAAAACTTGCCGGGGGTTCAGAAGCCACTGGAATTTCTGAAGCAGTTTGAGACCCTGATTGCCTCCAGATTTCGGGTTGATGAACACAATGACGGGAGTTAAATTGGCGCAGGGGATCGGTTTTACCACGAACGCCCTGTGTTCTTTGTCCTAAGATAATGGAACGGTAATTTTTATGCGTTTCAACGACCAAAACCATATATATATATATATATATATATATATATATATATATATATATATATATATATATATATATATATATATATATATATATATATATATATATATATATATATATATCGATAACCATCACGACATTAACCCAAAAACGTATTAGTGGTTATTGCATAAAAGCAATCAGGCAGATATACATACAAAATTATAGTCGACATAAAACGATCGGTTAAATTTAAACTAATATTTTGAATGCCGTCAGTAACAATGGTTTTATGCGCTTCCCCAGGAAAAAGCATGAAATATGAATACAGTACAGTAAACGATATGTCCATCGTTGGACATTAACGTTTTTAGCATTTAAAATAAAAATTGATTTGATCAATTTAATAACCTCAGGAATATAGTGGTCAAAATATAGGGCTCGCCGAGGTTTCATTTTCGGCGTCAATTAAGGTTAATATTTAAACTTATTTTTATATTGTAGAGGGTGAGCCAAATTATCTAAAGGAGATAGACGAAAACTAATATCTGTTTCAGAGTTATACGGAGTTTTTCGAAAATGGGCATAATAATTAAATATTTAGAATAGGACGAAAGAAAAATGTCATGTGTGCTATATTTTTGAAAAGATAAATTCAAGTTCTTCTATTAGCAACTATTAACAATAAGATTTAAAAATATTATACTTATACCGTTAAACTTTGAGTAAAAAGGTGCTTGGGATACGGTTTTCTTAGAAATACAAAATTTTTTATAGTAAAAAAGTTACAGCAATTAATAAAAATGTCCAATTTGGCTAAATCTATAGGACCATGTAGAAAAGCAGCAAAGAATTGATAAATTGATATCGCTAGGCTACTTTTTGTTTCTGCGCAGGGGAAAAATACTTAGCGACCGAAATACTTCAACAACATCTGATGTGTACCAAATCTGTAAAATTACCTTATCTTTTGTTCTTTTTTTGCTGGAAGCTCGTTTTCGGGGTGTTTTTCGAAGGCTTGATTTGAAACTGCCTTTCTTGGGTAGTTTAACTATCCACGATGGAGGAACTATGATACTACTATGTACACCTGAAACAATATCAACATTCGTTTGCGACGCCACGTTGTCTTCTTCATGTTAATTATGATATGTTCTGTAACAAATATCTCTTGTTCTTAACTTTTAAGTTTAGGGTTTTGTTTATTAAATATTGATGATTTTGTATAATTTCAGCCAATAGCAGAAGCATGAAGTAGCGTTTACGATATTATCTCAGGTTAGCAAGTTTATTAGCTATGCACAGTCTTCTTTTTTAATTTCTTGTGTACAGAAATATTAATAAAAACATTCTTAAATTTGCTTGCTTTACTTTTTCATTTTACATAATATCCTTGCATCTAATAATTTTTACATAATTTATCATGTTATTTGAGCATTTTTTGGTCTCCTCAATGCTTAATTATTTAAATTCCTGTAACATAAATGTACATCCATATGCAATGCATCTTAACACCAGCATAAAAATATTAGTAGGTTTTCAACGTTTATGAAATTGGCATAGTAAAAAAGACTCAAAATATATCACAACCACTTAGTTCAAATTAAAATGATTTCCCAAATGATTAACCCTCAAAACCCCAAATGGGAGAAAAAATTAAGAGATCAATATAAACAATTCCTTGTCCAAGGTGGTGCTGCTAATATGACAAAGAAAACAATCTCGATTACTTACATGCCTCACAAAATCTATATTGGCCAAAACCTAAAGATAGACTTCATTGATTATACCTAACAAAACTGTCAACATTAGGTGAAAATTCCAGAAAAAAATATTGTTATGCGAAAAACAATTGTCGAAAAGTTTACCAATAATTTAAGACCTTTCTGTAAGCTTTAATAATTAAAAAAATTGTGTTGGGATTGAAATACCCAAATGGCATAATCCTATCACGCGTAACCGATTTTCTAGCAGTGTATCAAACACACAAGATAATTGTTGAAATTACATGAAATTCATATTAAAGTCTCCATTTGTATCACAATTCCCACCACAAATTACGAGATAATTTAAATTAGAGGAAGAGCTAGTAATTTTTACTTACTTAATAAGTTGATAGATATTATTTTAGCTGGAAATAGCCAAAAACTACAACGGTCATCTGGTAATGACTGGCAATGAAAAATATTTTTCAAACACACTCTATGATACAACTATGTACACCTGAAACAATATCAACATTCTTTTTTAAGTTGTTTTGTTTATCTAGTCTTTCTTAGACTCGACATCTAATATCATCCTCAAATTGGAAAATACTTCGCACTTTCTGCAAGTTTTATCTCTTGACCGACATTATCTCAAAACAAAGAGACTTAAATATATTTTTCCTGAAACAATAGGTTTGAAATTTTGCGAAAAGATAACCGCACCATGTATAGATGTTCCATTTAAAACCTTTCTTTCTAACTGCATATTTTCTGTTCATTTTGTGTATGAAATCAGTCAACACATCTAAAAATTCCACCAATTAAAAATTAACTAACCAAAACTATTTTCACATTATGGATTTGTTGAAATGCAAGTATTAAGTTGAAAATTATATTCGCTTTATTCGAAACATTGTCGAGGAATATTTAAATTATATATCAAAATGTCAATCAAAATTTCCATAAAATTTTATAATATGGCGAATACACGAACAATGATGCTGGGCTACAACAATATATACATTGCTTTTCCAGCATTATAATTTCATCAAATTTTAACAATATTCAATTCAACATTAACACTTCAAATTAAAATTTATTTTAAATGGACCGGAATGTATTATCTGTTTGTTCAATTCCTTTGAGAATTTTAGATATATTTCCTGTCAAACAATTTTAGTATTTTCTGTTAAAATTGACGTTTGGGGCGCAAGAATATGTGTAAATTTTTCCATTACGGAATTTTTCTAAGTTCAAGCAATTGTTTAATTGTTTTAACATAAGAGATCGGCGAATTTCGCGATGGGACGCGCTGAGAATTTTGAACAGTCTAAAAAGTGCAACTTTTGAACAAAACCGTTTTTGCCTGCCAAGCAGCCTCATAGGGGCTGAACGCAATATCCGTTAAAAGGGTTCTTGAATTAATTACCCAGTGTTTCCTTGTTTCATGAATCATTTAAATTTAAAGAAACGCGGACTATAATTAGCCAAAAATTACACGGTAATTGTTGCTAAATGGTCTATTTCGCGCGGCGCAAAGCGTTTAATCCCTTTTAGGGCTCAAAATGCTGCTGCACGCCGTTTACTGAGTGGGCTCGTGTGGCGATAATCACCCTAAAATGAAGTTGGGACAAATGCGGAAACGCCTCTAAAATTTTATTAAAGAAAACGGGAAAACTGAGCGTTACTTGCGGCGTAAACTAAAATAAATTTTGTTTTTACGGCCCCCGGTACGCCATTTTATGGAAGTATATTTATAATTCATTGGGGTAACAAGGGGAAGCCCGTTAAATAATAATCGTATGATGGGTATGGGAATTGTTTAGGGGAAGAAATTGCCGATAAAAAGCGACCTATTTAAAAATTAAAGCAAGCGAGATATACGATCTATCCCAAATATGTTGAGGGTGGAAAAGTAGAGTTAAGCAGGGAACATACTATAAGATGATTGGTTTCGCAGAGAGTATTAGTGCAGGACATAAGGCTTGAAGTTTGAAACAGGGTAGACGAAAGTGGAGTTCATAGAATTTATGATGTCACAAATAGCCTGTGACACTCTACGTTGCTTTTATAAATATTGAAGTCCTTAAAAAAGGCTTTAATTCCATTCTTTTTCATAGTGTATCTGAGTACTGATAAATATATTGAGAAAAAAAATCTTAATGTTATAGAGGAAAGAGGAAAAATGAAAAATTAAAAAATAAAGAAAACAAAGTGACACAGGTTGATATTTGTTACTGTTTCCTATTGAAATTTTATTTGTTATCATTAGTCAATTTTTTCTGAAATATAAAACTCTCATACTGCTGTCAGTGACGGCATTCTGCTCAAAACTATGACGGATGTCCGATCATCAGATTTCATGTTTATAATTCTCGTTCGTTTGAATTCATCTAGTATCTTTCAAATATAATTCTTGAATCTATGCCGTTGATAGAAAGAAAAATTGAAAGGCCCTTCAATTTGATTGAAACGCAAAATGGTTGATCAATATTGTTGAATAATGGTTAATATTAAAGTTTTAGAATTGACTAATGAGAACTGGCTTAACGAAATTCGGTTAGAGTGGTAATAATGCAAGGAGATTTTCTATCCTTTGAAGATTTTGTACAAAAAGTGATCAAGATAAATAACTAAATTAAAGTTTAATTTCTTAAATTGGTAACAATTAGATATTAACAAAACAAGTCCATTGGAAATGATTTCCAAAATTCAACTAGAGTCTTAAGTTTTATCCCTACTTTGATTATATAATGACACAAAAAAGTCATATCGGTGCATTTGCTTTTGCGATTATGTCGGGAAACGCCATCTGGCAAGATAACAAATCGAAATCGCCTCATTCATAGCGAGATTACTAGCTTCTCCTAGCGACTCCAAGTTTATTCAAATACCGTTAAGCGCTTTTAAAGTCATCGCCATTTCTTTCGAATAAATTCGAACATGCCACTATCTACGCACTGTCCTCCGAAAGAACGCTTCGACTGTGGTTCAAATAAGAAAACCGGGTTTGAAAAATCAACATCGAAATTACGACTCCTGGCGGCCATTTCAGAGAGTGGTCGATTTAAAACCGTACCTTGTTGCCCTTACTATGTCAACAAACTTTTGAGTCAATTCCATAATAAATATATTGAAAAACAAATATAATTAATTAATTCTCACGTCCATGCCTCATAAAGATGTCCCCTATTACAAGGAATGTTTAAAAAGTTCTGGGAATTGCGCTATAATTAAATTACGCAGAACTTATAGGGAACGTTATTGGTGCGAGATAAGGTTTGACATATTTATGTAATGTCTGATTTAGGTATTCGACTGATATAGAGGCGTTTTCATATGACTGCTTAAGCAATAATTTTGATTTATGGAAATCAATTGTAAAAACATCAGAAACTATTCAGCATCTCCAAAGAGTATTTGGTCAGTCTGCAGAACACAAAGTACTGTTTATCGGTGGACCATTCGTTTTAAAACCGCTAGACCATCAATAGAAGACGATCCACACCGTGTGTGTGAGTGAAAGAGGACGTCAATTAGTGTGCGCCTAGAGATAGATACACAGTAAGTTCATGACATCTTACATGATTACTTTGGCGTTCGGAAGTTTGGGCACGTTCGGTGCCAAAGCTGTTGGGATCAGAATAGAAGCTCAATACGTTAAGTATCAGACCTGTGAACTATGGGGATGAATTTTGGCAATGAATAATAACCACTGACGTCACGTGGATTCCTTATTTTAACCCTGAGACCAAAAGTCCAAATAATGGTCCAAACCTATCGGTGATGCTCACAGTATTCTAAGATTGAGAAGGGATTATTTTTATAGATTGTCTGGCGAAAGATATTACATATTATTTCGATTTACTATCGGGATCACTGCTACGGGCAACAGGATAATGCCAGACCACACACTGCAAGAAAAACGAAAGATGTTTTGAATGATTTGCCACGAGAACTCATACAACCTCGCACCCATCTTATTTCCTTATTCCCCGATTAGAAAAAAATCCTTCCGCGATGTTTTACTGAGGTAAAACGTGCCATAAATAGCTGGACTGATGCGGCATCGAAAAATTTATTTGAGGACGGCTTAAAAAAATTAGTTTATAATTGTTAAATAGAAATGACGTTGAAAACCTACATTACTGAAAAATAACAAAATTATAAAAATTATAGCTAAATTGCCCGAAACTTCGGAAGCATCCCCTTGTATATGCGATTGGTTTCGTTTCAGTTCGTCTTCGTGTTATAGGATAGTGCAAGAAGTAAACGATAAAACTATAAATCCAACAAAGTCGCACAGAGGATAAAGTAGGGTCGGAAAAATAGCTGTCAAAGCGGTAAATTGCCCGAGACAACAGTCCTAAAAATGCTCCAGGGAAATAACCCGATACGATAGTTTATGGATTTCGAATTGAGGTCTCGCGTTTCTATCGGGTTACTGAAAAATTAGATTCGAATAACGCGGAAAAAGAATGATTTTTTTTATCCCCTTCACAGTTTGAAAACAATTATCTCGTGAAGTCACTTCACGATTCAGGACGGCAGAGACAGGTACAAAAAAACCACACTGCGTCCCGCGAGTAACGAACCGTTCTCTCGGCGAATCCCGACATTGTTGACAATTACGTCCGGATCCGCTGAATATACAGTATAATTGCATCCAGCAATTCAACTTTATAATTGAGAACTCCGCGTTTAGTTTAGTTAAACGGAAATAACATTGTTAAACCAGGTACAGTTTTAAAAAAATCGGCAGTGCCATTTATTCACTCTTCGTCTGTTCCGTCTTTTTTGCCAGTAATTTAGTTTTAGAAGAACCAAATAATAACAATAATAAGGTTTATTAAACCTAACGAACAAACTGAACAAACAGTTTGTTAAATAATTGCAATTGCGGCGTCTTGCAAAGTTAAAATTTGAAAAAAAAAAGAAAAACGAAAAAAAAAAAAAAACGGAATAACGAGATGAAAATATATGGATTATAACGTAAGTAACAATTTTTCAAAGATACTTGTTGACGTTTCATCAAACATGATGTTGAGTCTGCATGTGTCTTAAATATCTGTCTGAGGCAAGAGGAGTGCTTCACGAATAACCGAATCTCAAATGGACAAGAGATGAACACTTCTGTTGCAGTGTGTTATAGACTCTCGATTTTTGTTAGAATAAAATCTGGTGTCTTGTTTCTTGAAGATGTTCGGAAACTGCTGATGTCGTTATTTATCGAAGTCAGACTGAATGTTGAAATATACTTGGACAAGTAGAGTAGCCAGTTACATATTTTTTTAGAGTTTCTGATTTGATGGGCGACATTTAAAATAAACGCAAGTACTACAGTGACTGATGGATGGAGACTAATGGAATTACTTTTTATACGTGGTTCTGGTGAAGTCTGTTTTTTGATCGAACGTATGATATCTTGATAATTGTAAGTGTTTGACAGAAGAACTGAGGCCGGATGCGCCAACTTCTGGTTAAGAGATTCGGGTTGAGACATTGCTCTGAAAACTAAAGAAGATTTTTGTGATATTGAATTTAGGTATCGATTAGTAAGAGTCGCTTTTCTATAGACAGCCTAGCCTAAAGTTAAGTTTAGTTATAGTTTAAGTTTTTCGATTTGTATGAATGTCTAGAATGGGAAGAATGTTGCAATTTTCTAATTCGATAGTAAAATTGATGTTTGAGTGAATGGGGTTTAAGTAATTCAAAAAGGATTGAAAATCTTCCTGACCGTGTTGCCAGATTACAAAAACATCATCTACCATCTCTTCCACAGTTTGGATGGTTATATAGAACTTATCCATGGTTAGTTTTTCAAAATTTTTCATAAAAATATTAGTATCACATTAGAAGTATTTTTCAGGTAGACATTTTTTGATGAAAATGAGAAGATCTGCACTGGTGTTTTTTGGGAACAGGAACTTTAATAAAGACCGATTCAACGTCAAAGCTAACTAGACTAACTTAACATAAGAATTTAAATTTGAAATGAATTAAGGTGCATATTTGAAAATATGGACCACACCTCTTTTTTGCATCTGTGACTATCAACTAGAGGTACAATACTATTTTACAGCAACAACTTAACACTTCTAACATTCTGGAGTCGCGTTTTGATAAATCAGTCAACATCACATCTTTAGAATGAGTAGACAGGATTGAATTGGTTAATTTAGAAACACTTCTGTCTCCTGTATTGTCTTGTTTATAATAGAAAATATGGAATTCCCATTACACATTTCCCTAAGTGTCCAAAAAAATTGCTATGAATAAATGGTTTTAGAAAACAGAATAACATTTTAAATAATCCTAAAGGGAAGCGATTAGATTTAAATGTGTTGCAGAATCTTTTAGAAAATCTTATGTTCTTTTACATATGTGGAGCCTAAAAATATTTTCTTTATTTTATCATGGGTCAAGGCAACAGTAAAACTAGTAGACCCAGATATTTGCCCAGAGAGAAAAATACAAATTATTTTTATAATCCCTTGATAATTCAAACGAAAGAAAAAAATCTAAAAAGTCCTTTTAAGGGTAGCTAAAAAATTTACTTAATTCATACAATAACTAAATGTCCGTAGTACGCAAATAATGGCTGTAAGTTTAATTCCATTATCTTAGTTAGGGAGAAAGTGGGGGTGCTCGTAAGAAATTATGTTTATATAGGAATACTATCTTTGGATCTACTTTCAACCTGTTTAGTGAAAATTTTTCCATTTCCCAAAACATAAAAAAACAACTAAATATGTTGAGTCTAGCCAAATCCTGCTAAATCCCAAAATCCCTGGCAGAAATTCCCAATTACCCTATACAATTTTAAATCCGTCCACGTTTCACGTAACTTAAAAGTTCCATTTCATTCTAAACGATCGAAACTTGTTTCGTTTCTTGGAAAACACGATCATTAATCAATTTTATTTACGAACATCTAGACATTACGGGACATTTAGGAAAATTAAAGAAAATTAATCATTATTGCCAATTACATGATACGGGAGGGACTATAGACTGCTTGCTTAATGTTTAGTTAATAATTTTTGACAATTTTGGGACCTTGTTTTTTAATGTGATAATATTTGAAAAATTTTAATGTTTTTAAAAAATTGGTTAGTTCATCACCTGAATGCTCAAACAATAGGATTTCGTATTATAAACAAAAAAAACAATTTTTCTGTGAATATCGGGAAACAGATATACATTTCCTTTATATTAGGTACTTATTAGGTTAATACAATAGTTCGTGACCCAATTTTACACGCCATAATTAATTAGAATATGCCTTTTGTTGATACAGTTGCGATAATGGCATTAAATCTGCTTTTAACTTTTATTTAAAGCTTATTTTAAAGTTAAAAATTAATGATTCTCTAGAAGCCGTAGTAGAACAGTTTATATTATATAGAATAGTGTTAATATGTTTGAATAACGAAATGTCTAATTTTTTATAAATAAGTTCTTTTAAGGCAATTGTAGTAGACTTGTTTAGAGCTTAAAACAGAGGTGTTTTAAATATTAATTTATAATTTATATAATGTCTATAGGATAACGAACTACATCTTCGAAATCGCAAGAACCACGAGCGTGCATTTTTGGTTTTTCTTGCCTTCTGGCAAATCTTTATTCTCTATCCAATTCTGCCGTTAATGTTTGTACAAGTGGGAATGTGTATTTTTCGTTAAAGGATAATAAAATCAAAACTGAAAGTAGCATTTCAATTTAATCGAACCTAAGATTATATACTCTTTGAAAGGAAAATGATAATAACTTAAAAGTATGAAGGCGCAGAACGACTTACCTAATTTACATTCTTCGCCTATTCGTTGAACGTTGAAACAGGACTCTTTGTTGTGGAACGCCGCTTTGCACCACGAGCAACTAATCGCCACTATCTCTTTCGAACTAAACGATAATTTCGATTGGAATGACTGCAACAAAGAAAAGGTGGTCGTAAGGATCATTTGGCACGCCTTCAACCCTAGTTCAATATAACTACGTCCCATTCAACCGCGAAACGTCCGTTACACTAGATTTGCTTAGCCGGTAAGCATGAGAGCTTAATAATTCTCCATTTATAGGCCCTTCTGGCCGATTCTCTCAATCAATTCGGCCTAGTTATTTATCCTTCACCATACAGGGATCGCATCCTTAACCTTCATTCTTCTTTGTCAAATAAGGACTCCGACGTGAAGCCCCACAATTATATTTTTTTTGTTTACGTGCGGGATACGTTATGCCGTCTCATTCACTCACCAAAACAGATGCCCGGAAAATGTAACGTTGTGGCGAATATTTATTAAAACTAGTCTAGTCTATGTCTACGTAAGAACTACACAGCGAGCATTTAAATTTAAAATTAAATGTAAATCATCTATGCATTTTAATGCAGAGGTTGCCGATTGCCCTCAATGTTAATTTGTTTGCTTTGCTTGAACTTATAAAAAATGTGAGTGTGCAGTACCTAATTATGATTTTAGTTACTCGAACTTAATTCTATAAGCATTTCACTGAATGACGGGCCTGATGATGTTATGAACTTTCATCATGAATTTTCTCGTGGACCTGATATTGTGTGTTATCTTCAGGATTTTTTGCAGATTTCTTGAAGATCAGGTTTTTAACAGGCATTTACAAAAGTGGCGATAGTGGTGATGTCGGCAATTGTAAAGGTATTAGTACAGTAAGGCTTTCTTGAGTATTGAAAGAATGTTTTGAATGATCAACAGCATGGTTTGTGGTGTGGATACACAGCTTTTTATGTGGTCGTATCCAGTTTTTGAGTATAAATAATTGTGTGTCCCGTAAAATTGAAGTGTCTTCAAAAATTTCCCCATTTGGAATTGCAGTGTCTATTATTTGTGGACGATTTAAAAATATTGAAAGCCATGGAGTGTGGTCTAGAATTCAGAAAACCATTTTCCAAAGATGTCTGCTGACATCTTTTTCAGAAAGCAACAAAGCATTATCTACCTAACCAGCTTCAAAGCCCGCATGTAGTATGATAAGTCGTTTGCCCCCCGAAACTGGCATATCCAACGAACATTTTCTGCTGTTACCATGAGTCCATCCTTTCTTGACGGTATCGTGGCTATCAAACCAGGTCTCATCTAAATATATGATCGAAACGTTTTTAGTACGGATTTCTTGGATTTCTCTTAAATATCTTGTCCTCCACTTCGAAATTCTTCTCGATTCCATCAAAACTTGTCTCTTATTGAGGGTTTTGTAATAAAAACCAATTCTTCGTACGAACGCACCCAAAGTATCGTGACAGCAGTCGATGTTCAAAACACTACGCAACTCTTTGGCACCCCACAATCTTTCGGCGTTTTTCTTTCTTGGACACCATTCACAACTATGTCACGTATCGTCGTATATACGGTGATTTACTGTATTGCTTTGTTCTTCTTCTTCCTTCTTTTTATTAGGCGAACGCCTGTTTCATTCATTGTCCCCCTGCCTGGTTGTCGCAACAACGTTTTAGAGGTCTACCGGTGCTTCTTCGTCCCGATGGTGATTTGTCCCTCGTTAATTTGACGATTCTTTCTGCGGATATTCGGTCAATGGTCAGTATGTTCGTTCCATTCTATTTTTCTGTCGAGCACCCAAATCCTTAGATATTTCGGGGCTGATTTCGGCGTTATACGTCATTTTTGGTCTTATAGCTGACAATCAAACTCTTGACTGGAACCTTCGGCACTGCACTAACGCACAATTACACGTTTTACCACAAACCGGAACTCAGTTTTAAGTACTCGACGCGCGTTTCGCCAACCAAGTTGGCATCTTCAGTTTTAATCTTCTCCTGAAGATGCCAACTTGGTTGGCGAAACGCGCGTCGAGTATGTAAAATTGAATTTCGGTTTGTGGTAAAACGCGTTATTGTGTGTTATAGCTGACAATAATATATTATTTATTCATACGGTCATTTTTGTTGCTTTAGTTGTTTGACTTCTTACCTCTTCTTCGATGTTTCCGAATCCGGATGTTTTGATTCCAAGGTATTTGAATTTCATTTCCTGTTGAATAATCTTGTTCTCGATTTCGAGTTTGCATCTAATTGGAATTTTAGATGTCATGCTAATGCTTTCTTAGGAAAATATTTTAGAGTTATTATGTTAAGCCAGTTAGTTAATCTGTTCAATATATAAATTAATAAATTAATTATTACTATTCTGATAGTATATTGTAAGATTGGGCGGTAAAGTTATTCTTCCGACATATAAAATCACTTTATTCCCGTGTTAAACAGGTTATTTTTTTTGAGACACCACATAATTGATGCAAAATACTACCAAAATTTTATATAAACGAAAGAAATGCATTCACAAGGCAAGGGGCGAAGACATTTTCCTCAATTTACCATATTATAGGGGTCTGTGATTAAACCAATCAGAAAAATTCCGACCCTGTTATTGAATTTGAAATTTCTAGTTTGTGATTTAATGGACATAAAAACGCGAACCCTAATTCGCCTTGTCGGTGAGTTTCCCAACCGTCTACAGCCATCCGAACGTTTACAAATCACCTCGTTAGCTCTAACAAACTCGGAAAATGGCCCAGTTTCTGGAAATTTCCCCGCGGAAAACACGGGGACGCGGAATTTTGTTGCCTTTTGTGGCGCCGGGTGGATCAACTTTTCAAATTAAAATACTCAATTGGAAAAAAAATTCCAATTACTTTTGAAAAATGATTAATCTTCTGTAACTGTAACTGTAACTCAAAAGCTAAGCAAAATGGTCGTTTTTTACCTTGCCACAGTGTTTGCATTTTCCTTTCTCCGATCTTCGGTGGACCCAGTGGTGTTGTATGGAGGTTTGTTCGCGATATTGCCGTACCCCGACATCTCGAAATGTTGGCTTGCACGTAAATCTCACCCTGTCGACCAGAATGTTGATGCAGTTCTGATGAGCCAGAACGTTACAAGCTGAACATTTCATACGAGAACCGTGTTTCTGAAATAAAAAAAAGTGATATTAAACGAGTCTTTAAAAACTGCCACTTAACAAAACAAAAATTTCCGATTTAATCATTAGTCCTATTTGAAAAAAAGCTAACCAAGACTAAACGATGCGTGCGTTCATTAATATCTATCTACCATATACCATTGAAAAGACAGATAGGTATTCACTTCGGGTATTTTAATTTATGTAATGGTATTTTGTTTATATTAGTTTAAATAAGAATACAAATTAAATTAGTTAAATTAAAACAAACGATGTTCAGATTTTCACAAATTATTTATTGACCTTGGTTCAGTTAAATTGTTTACAATTATTTTAATTTTTATTTGAAAATGTCAAACGTGTGCAGCGATCATTCAAAGATTATTCTTCTGGAATATAAAATATTAACACTCTATACTATACCCTAAATAGTATAAAACTGCACTTGAGGCACATTTCTTCAGTGATCAATATAGTAAATACACTTGAAAAGTTTCCGACCTAACAAGGATACAAGACATTTTTTATTTTTCTAACTTGCAACTCTACACATTTCTCCCAGCGATACTCCCATCTCTCTAACCCGTCCAAATGGTATCGTGCGACAATTTTTGTTTTCCGAGCGCAGTTTTCAGATGAGGGAATAAAAAAGTCACTTGGGGCTAGATCTGGTGAGTGAGGTGAGGTAAGGTCAGGATAGTCATGCAGTTCAAAGCATAATTCGTGATTTCTTGCTATGACAAATGCTGTAGAATGCGACGTCTAGGTGAAACAGGAATTTTTTTTGCAAATGTCGACGTTTTTTCGCAATTTCTGTCGTCAACTTGTCAAGTAATGATAAGTACAATGCTCCTCTAATGGGTTTTCCTTTTTGAAGTAATTGATTAAGATCTCAAAAAACAGTCGCCATCACAGTTTTGGTTCGGTTCCGCATTCGCAGTTCACTGTTTTGACTGTATTTTGATTCGGGCGTATAATGGTGTATCCAAGTTCATTCGAACACGTTTCTGGTGAGCAATATGATTATCGATATTTACAGTTTTTAGATGTGTCGAACGTTCACCATCTCCTAAGTTATTACAGCCACGTTTAAATTCAACTGCCCAAAATTTCACTGTGGTAAATGAGTCCCTACACAGTCCAAATCAACTTTAATTTGCGTAGGCGTATTGCGTTTCAAAAACAAATATTTTATAATAGCTCTGTACTATATTTTTTCGATTTTCACAAAAAACACTTACATCGACTGATTCAAACGACTATCAACTAAAAACCGTGACTTCAAAAGGGCTGAAACTGTGGTGAGTTGATATCCAGAGGTACAACTATGATCACTAGCTTTTAATAACTAGTACCGCCATCTTAAGCGTGAGGTCGGAAATTTTTCAAGCGACCCTATAGATAGATATAGATAAAATTTTACCAAATTACCAAATCTGTAAAACTTTTATTATTTTTTTTACTACTTATATGTATTTCAATAAATTCATTTTTATGTATTTTAACTTAATTTATTTATTTATATCATAACCTTTGGTCACCACTTCTGCTCTTATTGTTATTATTATCATTATTATTGACCATTTCTCCATACTGATTCAACATTTGTTTCTTTATATAATTTTCGTTAGTTACTACTTTGTAATTAATTGTAATTGTCTTTTTCTTTCTTATTAAAACTGGTAATTCGAAATTTTAATGACATTGTGTCCAGCTAAATAGTATAATAATAATAAATAATAAACAAATAAATAAATAACTCAGACTTGTTTTTTTTCCCTCTTACATTACATTACAAATATTTTCTGTTTTTTTTTTTATTTCTTAACATAACAGTTTACAAAAACTTCGTTTTCAGAATTTAGGCACTACTCAGTACTTTCAAGTTGCAGCGTTTATTAAAAAAGTCTTCTCTATTCTTCTGAATAATAAAAATTAGCAAACGTATCTGGTTCTCGTTCACACGAATTTGAATTGCAAATGGTGGACAAACAAGACCTTGTGTTTTGTACGATGTCGAGCCGTGTTTACAATTGGATAACATTTGTTTTCTCGGGATTTAAACGAAAAATCTAAGCAAAGGGAACGGAACATTATACGAGAAAATAAATGATGGAAATTTTCCTTCCTGTAAATCGAACCTAGTGCGATTTATACTGGGTGATTTATGGCCGATGGTTTAGGTTAAAAGTTTACGTTATTGTTTCGAAACGTTCTAAGGCTCTTAAATAATATCGCAAAGGAACAATTTTTGTCAAAAAGTAACTGCTTTTTCAGATTACGATAGCTGATTCTTAATTCTGGTCTGGTCTCATACATTTTGAAGCTTTCAGTAGTTTTTGTCTAAATTTATACTTGGCTTATTTTTCTTCGCTATCCAACAATTCTGGACCGACAATAAACGAAAACTACTCCCATAATGTGCCAGTGAAGTAGCTATTGAGGGACGCAACGGCAATCTTGAATACACTTGAGCAAGATGATGGGCGAACAAATAAAAATAAAATCGAACTGCCTTACTGGCTGTTTGGGTTTCGAATTTATTGATTGACCTATTTATTCTCAGATTGACATACACTCCAATACAAGTAAATGTAGCAAAACTATTGGGCTTAACTAAAATTGAATATAAACTTTACCTGCAGTTGCACCCGTTACGTGTGCAAACCATTACCTACAGGGAATAGGTGATACTTTGTAATTTATTTTTACCTATTATTTGAATAGCATTTAGTGCTGAGTTTGTTTAGATATGAGCGGACCGCGCAGTGAATTTTTTTGTGGACATTAGTTTTCCACTGAGTGACGTGAAATACAGAACCATCAGAATTGATCAAAATGTCAGTGTTTTAAGCCTACCGAAAACAAAATCACTGCCAATCCAAGTACCGAAAAAGATTGAATTGACTCGCCCCTTCAGTGCTTGATTTAGCATTTTGGAGTAGGCAGTAGAAAAACTATATTTTCAAATAATCATATTTTTTATCTGCGATATAAAAAAATCATTTCCTTTGTTTTCGGCTTTTCTGTTTCTCGGCAACTTTGTAAGCGAGTTTCTATAAAGTTATAAAATCAAATATTTACACTGATTCAAATGCCGCAATAGGAGATTTTTTAGGTAATAAATTACGATTTAACGAAACTTACCAGAAACTGATATTAACCGAGATACAGGGTGTTAAAGTAGCGATTTCATTTTTCATTTTTAATCTAGCTCTTTGCACAAAATTTGGCAAATCGGAGTTTTTTGACATGAGAAATCCATTTTCGTGAATAATTTTGGGACAATAGTAGAGGGGCTACGTATAATACTTTTCGTGCAATTAATAGTTCCTAACTTTTTTGCGCCTTAGTGTATGCAGATTTTTAATAAAGATATCACTGCGTACGTATCTTTTATACAAAAAAGCTATACTTTTTAAATTTCGCCTCGAATCACCGTTTTCGAGAAATTCGTATTTGAAATTTTTGTTGCACCTAATTGAACAGTTACATGTGAACGTGAACATGAACATGTGAATTTCGTTGCTGTTTGACGGTAACTTAGGTGTTTTTAAAAAGTTTTAGTTAGGTTTCCGATAAGGCCAAGACATAACTTTTGTTCCAACGTGGAGATGCCCGACATATGTTTATACGCATAAGAGAATTATAATGAGCATCGAGCTCATAGACGTTATTTGGAGATATTTGCAAACCGAAGGAGCCCGGATTTTAAAAATTTTAACAGACTAGGCGAAACTGGTTCGATTACATCGTAACTGGAAGAGAAAATTTTAGTCCAAGTAGCAGAAAATCGGGAAATAAGCACAAGGCGAATGATAACAGGAATCGGAGTGAGCAAATCTACAGTTTGTAAAGTTTTTGACCAAGAAAAGATTTATCGATATCACTTTATTCCTGTGCAAAGTCTTTTAGAGGGTGATCCTCGAGCCAGATTGGAATGTGCTCATTTTTGTTGGGTCCGGCAAAACGCCGACCCAATGCTTTTAAATAAAATAATGTTTCAAATGAGGCAACATTTACAGGCAGAGGTGTCAATAACTTTAGGTGCAATTACATAAACAAGATTTGCCCAGTAGACCAGTTGTGTCTTATGCAACAGCTCCAGCAGTGAAACTCTCTACAAAATTAGTAAATATTTTAAAGTTCCACACAGATTTTAAACCAACATTTTCAATAAAAAATTCTTTTGAATTAATCAACAAAATTAAAGACTTCAAAATCCCTTCTAACGCAACACTACTATCTTTTGATGTACAAAACTTATTTCCCAGTATTCCACCTATGGATGCGATAGATTTAGTAGATTTCACCCTAACTCGGAAGCAGGTTAACCCATTGGTGAAACAAGATTTATTAGAGTGCTTAATAGTATCTTTAGACCAAAATTATTTTGAATTTAAGGGACAGATTTATATCTCTAAAGAAGGTTTGATTATGGGAAACCCACTTAGTCCTTTGTTAGCCGAGATTTTTATGGATAATTTGGAAAATATCGTACTAGAACATCCTTTAAGAAAAAGGTTTTTATGGTGGTATAGATATGCATACATAATCGTATAAAATTCACTATCGAGATTGAGCAGGACAACTCTATTAATTTTTTAGACTTAACTATTACGAAAACGCAAAACAAATTAGCTTTTTCAATATATCATAAACCTTCAGACACGGACACAGTCATACAGTTCAAATCACCCTTATACACACAAAATGGCTGCATTTAACTCTTTTATACACAGACTTCTTAATACGCCACTCTTAACAGAAAATTACAACAAAGAACTTAATATCATTAAACAAATTGCACTGAACAACGGCTACAATCCGTCCATTATAGATAAAGTTATAAATAAAAAACAAATACAGACAACAGTAAACTCTATTTATCCGAAACCTAATACAGAACACGAACAATTTAAAACATAGGAGAACCTAGTGAAAAAGTTTCAAAACATTTGTCAAAATGTGGTTTAAAAATAGCTTTTAGAACTAACAACACAATAGGAAAATATTTAAAAAACAATAAATCGAAATGTCCAAAATCCCAAAAATCAGGTGTCTACAGGTTGCAATGTGGATCTTGTCCTAAAATTTATATTGGACAAACAGGTAGATCCTTCAAGAAACGCATTAACAAACATATAAGAGCGTTTAAAAACAATAGTCTAGATTCTAATTATGCTACACACTTAAACACAGAAAAACACATTTTTGACGACAATTTTGATATATTACATACAGCCATAAAAAGTAGAAAATTAAATTTATTGGAAGCCATGGAGATTAACAAAATGAGACATTCAAATGTATTGCTTAACGATCAATTAGATTTAAATACCTCTCTTTATTGAACTTAAATTCTCGCAACAACATTAATTAAGGTTTTATGGTAATTTTTCGGTATATATAGTAGTATGTGGTTTGTAAATATTACATTTGATAAAGACACGGTGTTGTCGAAACAATTGTCATGTCAAAATATATAATTTCGTGAAAATCTGAACTTTTAGTTCTTATTTATTTTGATAAATGGATTTTCATCAAGTAAAAGCCTCCTCAGTTCAATTTTTTTTTAACTTTAGGTGCGAAATAATTGATAATTACATCTTAGAACTCATCGAACTACCACCTAATCTAAACTTCGTGCTGTACCTAAATTTTATCTATCCTTAGAGTTAAAAAGAATAATGAATGCCAGATGGCCCCACTTTTCAAGACTTGTTAGTCAATCAATTTCCTTATCGTTGGATTGGTCGTGGAAGTCAAACACTTTAGCCGCCTAGGAGTCCGGATTTCAATCCTATTGTTTTTTGTGTTTGAAGTGTAGTGTAGTGTAGTGGTGTATGAAGAAGTAGTTCATACTCGAATTGGATTATGGCACAGGATTGAAAATGCTGCTGAATCGTTTCAAAACGAGGATTTTTTTACTTTATTCAATTAACTCGCGTCTATACTTAGACCACTGCCCAGGTGTTTGCTTATACCAACGAGTAAGTTAGGCAATTTTTGCTAGCCGTTAAATTCGGACACAACACAATAACGCCCAAGATTAGCTAAAATTATTGTTCGTAGTTATATACAAAAAATTATAGTTTTTTGTTAAACTAAGAGTAGTTAGTTAAGTTTGTACAACTTAGCTTTGAAATTTAAATGAGTAAGTAAAAACAAAATTCTGTTGTAAATTATTACAATATTGATTAATTAACATGATTTTCCGTTTATCTAAATATATCAATTGGATTTAAATTTCAATCTCGTTCAAATTGCTGACATTAGATGTTAGTTTTGGTTAGTTTTTAGTTAGTCATTTCATTAAATGTCATATCATTAGCGCCATCTGTTTGCGACCTTTCCATGGACAATAAAACACCCTGCTTATTTCCGGCAACCTTATTGTTTATTCCGTGTGGCAAACGTATTTAGCATAAAATATTTCAAGTGCAACGCTGTCCTTGAGGCATGGGCCATTAAATCAAGCGCTCATGAATTATTTAAACCCTTTTTCGTGTATCCATGTGTAGTACTTTGATTTTTTTTCTTCTTCCCTCCATACTTATTATTTTCTTACACAATGGCCCGGCTTTCGTTTAATATTCGCGTTATACGAATTCTATATCGACCAACTTTACGAATGTATGTCTGGCATAAATAATGAGGCTAGTAAGCTATCGATTGACCTCAAACCCGAGGTCTTAAAATAGACGGGTTTTCCTGAAGTGCTTTATTTTAAACTTCGACATATCGGTCCCGATTCTTTTTCGGGTCACAGACCGACAACCGGCAAAATAAGGGACTGTTGTTAAATTGAAGGAAAGGTATTAAGTTAACGAAAATGTATCCGATACGAATTCGAAAATGTAGGCAAGTAGAGGAAACTGAAACAAATCGATTTCGATCTCTATTATGCCAAAAGACATTTGAAGCGTAAGAAACAGGATTATTTGGCTTTTATCTCTTCTATACTGAAACATCTGAGCTCGTTATAATAGCAAAGGAAAATTCCATTAAAGATCGAGTTCCTGGTACAATTATTTTATTATACGTTCTTTATTGCAACGAAGCTGAGCTTTGAAATGGGAAAGTGTATTTTATCATCCCGATTTCCGGTTCTGTTCTCTTCTGAAGGAAACCATTTTCGCTTTACTAACAAAGCATGCATGTCTAAACTTTGCTACCACATAATCTTCGGCGTTTCTTTTTATTCAGATCGATGTTTTATCAAAATCTTATTAAATTTTGGTGTACATTGCAGCTTTAACTTATTTAACATTGAACAACCCTGAAATGAGTACATTTTCACCGATATATTTTTAGACAGGTTGCACCAAGTCTTTATCAAAACCAGCAACGTTGCATTTAGTGCATTAAATAGTTATATTTTGGTGGAAGTTTTGTTAATTGTTGTATTCTTTGTTGTCGTCATTTTATTCCGTGAGTGTTTAAACACGGCAATGAACTCAATTTTACTACCTGGAGTGCTTCCGTTAATGAAGCCAAATTGTATTTACTGTGGGTAATGACAGGATTATTTGTAAGACACACACATTAATACTAGTTATAGTTGAAATTGAATTGAAATAGGGGATTGTTTAATGTTATATATCCATTTTTTTAAAACTAAATCATTGTGAATTTTTCAAAGGAACTTCCACAGGCTACTGTAATACTTTTTATAAAACTTCTAGATTTCGCCAATCATCCTGTTGGCTTCTTTAGAGCTCGACTGAAACGGGATGATTGGCGAAACGTTAGCTAGTTCAACTCAACAAAAGCCGACGCAGGAGAAATCCAGAAGCTTCAAAAAAAGTAATTGTGGTATATTTTGACAAATTTTAACACTGACAATCGTGAATATGTAGAATAACTTGTAATAATTTCATACTAGTTGTTAATTAATAAACATTTTTTTAAAATGATAAATTTATGTGTTTAATACGATTGTAGTAATGTATAAATATATAACTGACAAAAAGAAAGTTTCTTTTTTGGTTATCATTTAACACCTATTGCATATTAAAGAATTTAAAATTCTTTAAAATAAATGCTTTACTTACATATGTACATATGTAACATATTTACATATGTAACATATTTGAGTGTATTATTTAGAAATAAAACTAAATCAGTATTTTGGTTAGTTACTTGAGCTATTGATTTAGTTGTAATAATCGTTGGAAAACAGAATTCATTTTCTCTTTTTCTAGTTTGAAGAAATATAAATCTTCGTTCAATGTATATGTTCAATTAAATACTAATATTTTAAGTTTTCTTGACATAAAACTCATGAAAAAATTGCTACTTTCTGGGCAACACATGTATTTAGAACATTAGAAAAACTTGAATATTTTGAAATTCCAGGTATATCAATTTGCATTCGCTTTTTCCAAAGCAGGATATTTAAAGAAAACATTGAGCACCAAATAATAATGTGTAAATAAATACAATTTCACATATATAAGTAAACAAATAAAGTATCTAACGGGAACATCAATGAATGTAATTGAGAAAGAGAAATATAATGTACGCACAACATACGAGGGCAGCGCCAAAATTTCCCGGCCTGAATATGAAAGAAACAGAGTAGAGTAACAATTTTTTATTATTTTTCAATATAATCCCCCTTAACTTCAATACACTTATTACATCTCTTTATTAATAACTCAATCCCTTTAAAAAATATTCTTTTGGTTTGTCTGCAAAATGAGCTAAAACAGCCTCTTTTAACTCAACTTTGTCGTTAAACCGCCGTCCACGTAAATCCCTTTTCAAATATCTAAACAAATAATAGCCGCTGGAGGCCATATCTGGACCATAGGGAGGATGATCTATCTGTTGGAACTCACACTCTAAAATGGCAGCTTGTGGAACACCAGCAGTATGGACAGGTGCAAAAGTCGCACGCCTCTTGTCAGTTTTCCTCGGCGTTTTACACGTATGCAGTCTCGCAATTTATGTAATAATGTTGCGTAATATTTACCATTGACAGTGGTATTAGATCGTGGCCATCAACTTTTAACTGGCAGACTCTGAATTTTCTTGGAGGTGCTTCACCCTTACGACGCCACTCCATTGATTTTTTTCTCGACAGAGGGTCATAATAGAGAACCATCTCTCGTCACAATAGTTTCTATCACAGGCTTCGGTTCCGACCCACAGAGTTCCAAAAAAGACCGCGCACACTCGACACGGCGTTGTTTTTGAATAGCCGAGAGGTTTTTAGGAATCCATCTTGCACTAACCTTATGCATACCTAAGTGATCATGCAGGATTCGACGAACACTTGTATCAGAAAGCTTAGTAATTTCTGAGATTTCCTTGACCTTTAAACGTCGATCACTCACTACCATCTCTTCCACAATCGCAACAATATCTTCCGTTATGACCTCCACTGGTCGACCAGTTCTTGAATCATCTTCAAGGGACTCCTGCCCCATTCGGAAAACGTCTGCCCATTCTTTCACTGCAGAATACGAAGGAGAATTTTGGCCGTACACAACATCCAGCCTTTCTTTAATAATTTTAGGTGCTAACCCTTCTTTTGTCAAAAACTTTATGGCTGCTCTATACTCAATTTGCGTTATTTGCGACAATTTTTCGAACACGTCTTGTTTAAAATGCTGTCAATAAAAAACTATTTGACGCAAGACTTCAATTTTTTTTTCGCAGCCTACTAAGATATATATTTAAAAGAAGACAAAGTTGTATCGTGCTACTAGAGCTGCATCTATGTCAGGCTGGAAAATTTTTGCATTAACCTCGTATAATACAAAAACATCGAGTGTACCAGTTCTTGGACAAAAGGGTTACTTGCCCTCTTAAATATTTTTCAATACTCAATTTTCATTTATAAATGTATAAAATTCTTCTTAATAGATATCATAATAGATAGAAAAATGCAAATTTTAAAAATATTTCAAACACATTGCATTGACTGCTCACAGGCTTACCGTGCAATCCGAATCCCCTACGTAGCAGAAGTCACCGGAAACGGAGGTAGGTACCCATAGATGGTCGCCGTTGATAGCCCCCTCGTTCCAGTCCGGTGTACTTCGCAGCACCCGCTCGCTGCCACCACCTACTGATTTTCTGAAACAAAGAGATGGAAGATTAGCGATTATAGAAACGAAAACTAATCCGTATAAATCGCGATTAATAATTTGATTACGTTGAAAAAATAACCATTGACTTAATTACTCATCCCATTCCGGTCGCATTACGTCAACTTATTAAATACAGTGACTCACAACTTAAATGATGCAGTCGCTATAACAAAAACTAACTGCTGTGAATGTCTCGTTACTTATTAAAAAAAAAACAACTTATTAAAGTTAAGTTAGTAAAGAGCTTTCCAAAAAAAGTGTGAATTACTTTTTGTCTTAAATATACCTTACTTAGTTAACAAAAAAGAATTAAATAAATTATATGCAATATTAACGTCACAGCTTTGGCGTGGCTTTTATTTATAACTGCAATTGTTTTTATTTAGTTTGACATTTTAACACGTTTTCGTTCAGCAAAACGAATTTTTTAAAAAATAGGTCGTCGGACTACAATTGCTGAGAGAAATTTAATTACTACTCATGACATGATATGATAAATAAATGTCCGTCAACTGTTCAGCATATCATTGAGCGTTACTGTAATGAAAATAGGGTCGAGAATAAGTCAAGGTTAGCTCCAAATAAGATCTTCAATAAACATGAGGAAAGGTGGATTGTAAGAGAGGTATCGAATTATCCAAAAAAAAGTGCTCCAAAGATGTGTGTGGAGGTGAAAAGGTGCCGAAGAAATAGACGCGTGACATTGGAATTTGCTAGAGAGCAGTAATATTTGCGGATGAGACCAAAATAAAGTTATTTGGATCCGATGGAAAAATATCAGTATGGAGAAAGCCTAAGGAAGAATTAAAATTGAAAAATTTAAAAGCTACGGTAAAGCATTGTGGAGGTGGAGTGATGTTATGCATTTCATTGAAGGAAATATGAACCAATATGTGTATTTGGATATATTGAGTATTAAGACAGCGAATTAAATATAGGTAACAATTATCGGTTCTATCATGACAATGATCCAAAGCACACGTCATTTCGGGTCCGCAGTTGGTTGCTTTATAACTGCCCAAATGTTATTAACACACCACCCCAGTCGCCAGACCTAAATGCAATTGAAAATTTGTGGTTGACATTAAAAAACAAAATAAATAGTGCCCTGAAATATGGAACACAATTTCCCTGGAGTATACTAGAAAATTAGTTGAAACAATACTCAGAAGACTACAAGCCGTTATCGATAATGGGGGAAGCCCGATTAAATATTAGGCAGGAGTATTTCAAATTATGCAGTTGTTTTTCTCTATTGATTTGGTTATATTTTGTTTTGCATCATTTAAGCTGTGGCGTTAATATTGTATGTAATTTAATTAATTCTTTATTGTTCACTAAGTAAGGCGTATTTAAGGCAAAAAGTAATTCACATTTTTGGTAGAAGGCTCTTTAGTTAATTAATTTCAATAAGTTGTTTTTTTTCCAAATGAATAAAGAGACATTCACACATGTTAGTTTTTGTTATAGCGACTGCATCATTTAAGGTGTGAGTCACTGTAGATAGTTCCCTAAGACGAAACAATTATTCTGTTTAGTTCTGGAATCAACCACTGCATAGATTGGAACTAATTTTATTATCACATCTCTTTATCTCTTCCGGTGGTTTAAGCCATATAATTTAAACAAATGCAGCGTGGCTGTTTAGTAATAACCAGAAATAACCGCAGTTAACCAAATAAAGTTTAAGTTATGTCATCGAGGTCCATGACAGCGATCGCACATTTCACTTTTAATAAGAATATTTTAGGAAACATATTACATAGAAATGAACGTTATAAATATGGTTTAAAAGCTTTGTTGGATATAAATTTATAAACTAATCGATTTTGTTTGCTCATTTGTCAATCAGCGAAATATCGAAAAGTCAAAATGTCATGAAATTAATTTTGCAGCCTCAAATTTCTTGCGCTACCCACATAAGACAGTTTTCAGGAAGGTCTAGAAATATTTGTCGAGGCGGCAGAAAAACTTTTTCAAAGCGATCTATAAAACCGATGAGTCTACTCCCCCAGGTTTTTGGATTAATCGGTTAAACTTACCGTTTAAGACAGTTTTTGTGGTACACAGATCGATTTCGAGTTAATCCTCTTTTCCTCTTCATTGTTATCATTTCATCGCGCTACGATAAAACTTTTCAACCATAAAACAAATAAGGAGAGATCTTTCTGCGTTTCGTCGAAAGTAAATTTTGGAAAGTGTTTGCTTTAGATATATTCCAAAAATAATCAGGTTTCTTGAAAGCAACAAAACGCGATACTTTAAATAAAATGATGATTTCTAATGGTAGGCAGATCAAAAAATGTCATCCATTGCAATGAAAAAAAATTGTTGAAAATGTCCAACGTTGAGTGCCCAGCGATTTAATCCGATTTGGGCTGGTTTGCTCAATTATAATAATTAATTTACTCGAAATGAGTCCGAATGAATATCGTAAATTGCAGGCTCAATGGAAATTCTAGCTTAATTGGGAAATTATAATTTTGACGGATGTACATGGTAGCAGATCTCTGTATGCAAACAAAACAACGGATGCAAACAATATACTACAGTAAATTCTGGTTTTTTACTATTCACAAGCGAGATCTCTTCTTAAAACATCCAAATTTGCCCACTCTGTACAATATAGTCTGCATGAAATAAAAACGAATCACAAAATGCAGCTTTGAAAAGACCAATGAAATCCTTATCGCTTTTTCGCTTATTTTTTGTTACTAAATAAAGACAGGAATAATTATTTGTGGATACAACCAGACAATGCTATTGTGTAATTTGTTATAATATAAAGTAAACACAAGTTCTTAATATTAGATACAAGAAATACCGTTCCGCCTGATATATGGTTTTTCTGCAAATTATAAATCTTTCCCAGCTCAAGTTTAAGGAAAATTGATAAATGCTTCTCTCGTCTTGTACCGGTTATGGTATTATTATTTATAATAATAATAATACCATCAAAAATAAACAACAAATAGATATAAACGTGTACGTAGATAGAGAGCAGTTACAAACAACATTAAAAAAACAATTACTACTCAATGAAATCCGATTTAAATTGGCGTTATTAATAAATATTATGGCTAAAATGCAGTACTAAATTTAGTACAAGGTAACAATTTATGAATCTCTTTTATATTTGTTATCTATTTTATTTGTTATTTTTATATCAATATATTGATTTATTGTTAATTTCTTGCAGAATTATTTCCTCAAATTATGACAACCACTATAAACGAATAAATCTCCATGATACCGTATGTGAGATACACTTTAATATTTTGCTCAAAAGCTTAGGATTGTTACATTTCTTAATGTTAAATTTTTCATTATTATTGTTAATTATTCTTTATTGATTACAGTTATTTTAAGAAAATCGGAGAACGGCTGGAATGCAAAAATAGCAGTTAGCAAGAAGTACCATTTACATTCGGAAAACTAATTTTAATTATTTCGATGGGAAATTATTTTTGACTATAATAATTTCCGCCAGTTCCATTGTGGGAGCCCGGCCATAAATATATGAAGTTGCGTAAAAAACAACAAAATTGAATTGTTGGATTTTTCATTCGACAGACTTCCAGAGCGGTATTTTTAGATCGCATCGTAAATACGCTGCTAAAACGATTAGCCATTAAAATGTAGATATATTAAAGTTATCCTACGCAAACATACATTTTTCTAACTCTATTTACCCATCGATTATCTATATTGGCGTTTTCTCATTGCAGTTCCGCGCTCAGACCGGATCTAAATTTAACGGGAAGTTATTGTACGAGCTTTCGACGTTGATCTATTTTAATAGTTTGCAGCGTTTAGCGTAATGGGTAAAAATAACGAGAGCGACATCAAAAACCTTTTAGCAATGAAGCGAGGGTCATTTCGATGGGATCGATACTTGATAAATTTCACTATGCCACTTTACTAACTACAAGTACTATAGGTATAGGTAATTGTTGTCTCGATAGCAAACACTATAGTGGCCTCTATTGATAAAGGGAGAACTGTTTAGTCTATACCAGCATAGGCAAAAGCAGGTCAACGAGTTACAGGGTATCAAAAGAAATTTTTATTAAAATTCTCAGAACCTTACTAAAAAAAAGTAATTATAATCTCCACGAAACAATTTTTTAATTTAACTGTTGTTGTAGATATGGACAACTGTTTTCCATTTTTTTAAGGAAAAACTATTTCCCAGTTGTAATTTTCGAAGCAAGGCAATATCAAGCAGTTTTTTCAGATTATTGCCAGTTTCTCGTTTGATGTACACCACTTGCCAAATTTTAGTTTCATTTGTAAAGTTTTCCCAAATTTAACTTATTAAGGAGATTCTTCTCTTCGATGTTTTGTCAGCGTGTAAGTTTTATGATAATCCATGATTAAAATTATAAGTATCCTGCCATCACACCTTTCGGAATGATGATGGGTTTGATTAGGATGACCAGAAGTCGGATCGGATCTATCCGGCTTGTTCGTTTGAACTAAAATGTCTTGCCAGTTTATTTCCAACAAAGAATTCTAAATGAATAAAAATTCACATTGTCCATATTCCTTGTTATATATTTCCAAAGCTGGCAACGCCGCGTTGCCGCGATCAGAAGTGGAAGCGAAATTTGCTCTCACGGTAAGTAGAAGTTTAGTTTGTAACATACAACTAGTTTGTAATTAAGTTTGTATATAAGTATAAATATGTTATTTTTTTATTATTCAATGCTGTTGAGAAGAAACGTAGTATTTTGAGTGAGTTTTTCTATTGATATAATTTTCTTTATGAATAAAATCGTAAATGAGTGAAATATTATATAAACGTTTCTAACGTTCCTCTCCTTAACAGTATCATCTAAGAGGCTTAAATACGTTTTTGAATTGCTAGATTTTTGAAAAATTAAAATTGTTATTTTCTTTAGTTTGTCCTACGTTTGTGCAAATAATTCTGCTCATTCTAGTTTAACGTAAGATTTAAGTGTAAGATTGTAAGATGTAAAATTG